TGCAGTGGCTCACTTTATTCGAGGACGTTTCAAACTCGTACAAAAGGCTCAAAATTGAATTCTAGACTTTTACCATTCAGACTCAAGAATCGGTTTATTTTCAGATGGAATCTCGAATGTATTTTTATAAATATATTATTATCGACCAGCGATTTAAAGCTTATTAATTAAATATAAGACTACTTCATTTTGGACCAATTACCTGCTCCTCATCATCAATTATTTATAAATATAAGTAATCTCTTTAAAAACCATTACTTCTTCAAAGAATCATTATTTAAAAACCTATATTTCAATTTGTTATTGACGCTCTGTAGCTGTTGATGCCTCTTTAAATCAATAGCTCTTTAAATCTGAAATCTTCTTTGCGCTATTACGTCAATAAATTGTTTTTAAAAAAATTTCAGAAGCTAAATTTCATTCAATATATAATACAAAAACTTAAAAGTTTTCAGATTTTACTGATTCAATTAGATTTGAATTTTATCTTAATTATACTAATAAAAATTGGGCAAAAATGCTGGGCCCAGACTTCTACCAGAATTACGGCAGAAAAAGACTGACATTGGTCTCTGCTTCACGTAGACTGGGAGGACTTAGTACTATTTTATCCATGGTCCGCATTATGTACCGGGAGGATAGCCGCTGAACATATTTACAATCCAAAAAACTAGAAGCGTGCAGAATGAGCTATGGTGTGCAGTAACGGATCGTTGTTGTAGCACCTCAAGGCTATCAGAGATTTAAATGTGTTTAGTACTTATTTAGAAATCGTGAGATGCGGTCTGGTATGATGTAGGTTTCAGAAAAACATTTTCTTTATCGTGCCAACGTTTCGATCTTTATTGAGATCATCTTCGGGGCCTGGGATTTACAAACATTGTTTACAGATTACAATTACATTTTGGATGTGGAAAAGTGAATTTATACAATGCAAAATATATTTTTTTTATTCAATCAAAGTATTTCTACTCACTCAAAGTGTTTGTCTTCTATGTAATTGTGCCATTCTTGCGTGTCGTGTCGAGAGTGCCAGTGATATTTTGCTATTTTGTGTTTATATACGTTGGATTTTGAAGGGGTGGGGAAGGAAGTCGGTATAGAAAAGACATTTTTGTATAAGGCGTCGGCTTCTTTGGGGTGAAAAGAGCCGACGAAGGGAAAAATTGTGTTGGTAATGGTTCGGTCAGATTATCCTTTCAGGATTACATAGAAAGGGATAAATAGGAAAAGGAAAGCTAAATTGCATGTAGTATGTTAGTGTTGGCGTGAATGTAAATTAAGCGCGAGAATAAAGGGATTATAGCCCACCACGAGGAATAACGAGTACTCGAGAGTGAGAGAGTGTTTCTGGAGAGTGAAAGTAATTTATTAGCGCGAATGGAGAGGTTAAACCCGCCGCGAGTTATATCGAGTACTCTAGGGTGAGAGTATAGTGTCTGGAGAGTGAAAGTAATTTATTAGCGTGAATGTAGAGTTTAAACCCGCTCCTAGGAATATCGAGTACTCGAGGGTGAGAGTAAACCGTCTGGAGAGGGAAAGTAATTTATTAGCGCGAATGGAGAGGTTAAACCCGCCGCGAGGTATATCGAATACTCTGGGTGACAGTATAGTGTCTGGAGAATGAAAGTAATTTATTAGCGTGAATGTAGAGTTTAAACCCGCCGCGTGTTATATCGAGTACTCTAGAGTGAGAGTATAGTGTCTGGAGAGCGAAAATAATTTATTAGCGCGAATGTAGAGTTTAAACCCGCTCCTAGGAATATCGAGTACTCGAGGGTGAGAGTAAACAGTCTGAGAGGGAAAGTAATTTATTAGCGCGAATGGAGAGGGTAAACCCGCCGCGAGTTATATCGAGTACTCTAGAGTGAGAGAATAGTGTCTGGAGAGTGAAAGTAATTTATTAGCGCGAATGGAGAGGTTAAACCCGCCGCGAGGTATATCGAATACTCTGGGTGAGAGTGTGTTGTCTGGAGAGTGAAAGTAATTTATTAGCGTGAATGTAGAGTTCAAACCCGCTCCTAGGAATATCGAGTACTCGAGGGTGAGAGTAAACAGTCTGGAGATAGAAAGTAATTTATTAGCGCGAATGGAGAGGTTAAACCCGCCGCGAGGTATATCGAATACTCTGGGTGAGAGTATACAGTCTGGAAAATGAAAGTAATTTATTAGCGCGAATGGAGAGGTTAAACAACCCGCTGCGAGTTATATCGAGTACTCTGGGTGAGAGTATAGTGTCTGGAGAGGGAAAGTAATTTATTAGCGTGAATGTAGAGTTTAAACCCGCTCCTAGGAATATCGAGTACTCGAGGGTGAGAGTAAACAGTCTGAAAGGGAAAGTAATTTATTAGCGCGAATGGAGAGGTTAAACCCGCCGGGAGGTATATCGAATACTCTGGGTGAGAGTATAGTGTCTGGAGAATGAAAGTAATTTATTAGCGTGAATGTACAATTTAAACCCGCTCCGAGGAATATCGAGTACTCGAGGGTGAGAGTGTACAGTCTGGAGAGGGAAAGTAATTTATTAGCGCGAATGGAGAGGTTAAACCCGCCGCGAAGTATATCGAATACTCTCGGTGAGAGTGTGTTGTCTGGAGAGTGAAATTAATTAATTAACGTGATCGGAGTATTGTACACTTGAATACTCATTCGAGGGTAAGGTCTGGAGAGGGAAAGTAATTTACTTGCTTGATTGTAGAGTTTAAACCCGCCCCGAGGAATATCGAGTCCTCGAGGGTGAGAATATAGTTTTTGGAGAGTGAAAATAATTTATTAGCGCGAATGGAGGGGGCTTCCGGTGTTCCTTTACGCACTGGCATGTAGTTTCAGCTGAAGGGCAGGGCTCCTGTAACTAGCAATGTTTCTGGAGGACGTGAAAATCTTTATGTGTTATGTGTTTGTTCATATTTTCTTCTTGTTCTTTTAATCCTAATTTGACAACCCGAGATAAACACGGGGAGTTAAGAATACAGGAGAAGATATGAGAGAGTCAGTGAAAAAATGCTTCACAAAATCCATTTAAAGAGCAGACGACCGTCGATGACCACGTGATATTTGTAATAAATAATACATAATAATACACAATCTTAAAACCTATAGAACAAACTTTATTATTAATTTTGGCATTTCTTTTATTGCATTTCATCAATTTTATTGCATGCGTATGATATAACGTAAACACTAAACCCTTGAATAAACTGGCAGGGTTTTTGCAATAAATAATCAAGTTGTACTCTTTTATTTTTAGCCAAATACTTTTTTTTGCCATCGGGGAAAAATATAAAGATATGCTTGGCATTGAATGACCCGCTAATGTCGTTCGACGGAGTCGAGGTCACCCTAGGTCATGTTCGTAGGTGTTCATTCAACTCATCGATTTGACCCAGGTTCTAGATCGATATTAACCCACGTTTTATTTAACTGTTTTATTTATACTTGGGATAAAAATATTGATTGGGCCGGAAAAGAATGACAAAACTTTTTAACAGAGGTGGATGTTTTTCTATGGTTATGATTTTACCCAAACTTCTGAAGAAATAGGATGCTTTTAATAATATTCAACAATTTTAAATAAAAAGATTAATGGAGTGTCACGCTCATCTGAACATTTTCGCATTGATTAACATAAAAAGTAAAAAATAAAATAATTCATAATTGTTTCCCGTTGGACATGATTCTTATAACACTCGTCCACGTAACAATAAATAAACAACAAACAACGTTATAGTATGTTTAGGTGTGTTTGTAATGGAATATCCATGACCCGAAAACACACCAAAGTAATCTAATAATCTGGGTGAGAGTGTGTTGTCTGGAGAATGAAAGTAATTTATTAGCGCGAATGGAGAATTTAAACCCGCCCCGAGGAATATCGAAGACTCTTGGTGAGAGTGTTATTTTATATATGTTTACAGTGTGATAGGAGGTTAGTCACTGGCGTAATACCAAAACCCTGGTGAATGTATTTATTTGCGTGAGTGGTTAAGTGTGTATGGGCACGCTCTGTGTGGAATACCGAATGCCCCAGAGCTTTCGAACCAATTAGATTAACTTTAGAGTGTGAACGCATAATTTTTACTACATGTGAATATATTTTTTGGCGTGACTAAAGGGAGGGCGTTAAGGTGAAAATCGCCTGCCGACCAGCCAACCGTACATAATTTTTGCCTAGTTGGACGGGTAAGGTCTCGAGACCTCTTGAGACTCACCAAACCTAGGTTAGATAATTTTGTAAATAGTCCGAATTTTAATTAACTTAAGACATTTTAATACGTGTGAAAGGGTAAATCATCAGATAGAAATAATAAAAAAATGCGAGATAGACAAAACGTGAGGTGCCGGCCAATTGTCATCTGCAAGCCGGCCGAAAAAAAAAATAATTCAAAAAATAAAATAAAAACCTCGAAGCAACAGCATTCACAAATAATAAAATACAAACGAAAAATAAACCCATAATTTTTTTTTAAACACGTCTACAAAATACAATCTACAAAACAAACAAGCACACACAAACTAAGAAAATAAAAACATTTATATCAACAATTTTTCTACAACCTATTCATTATTACTTAGCCCTTTCTTATATTTTATTTATTATTTTTTATAAAAACCCTCGTGCATGCATGGATAATATATAAATGGATTTTCTTTCATAATTATGGCTACAAAGCTGAAAAAATGGTAAATGGAAGGATAAACCTCTGCAACAAAAATCGTATGAAATAGATTTAGGAAAATAATGACAAAGTTAGACCTCGACCCTTGATCAAAACTTCCGAAGTTTATGGGTTTTAAGTAACAATGAGCATTATTACCAGACTTGCATATTTTATATTATATTTTCGTCAGCACAATTTTAAATCTAAGAAATATCTATATATCAAATAGTGTCCCGTTAATATAATAGCCTTATAGTGTAAATAAACCGTACAAATAGTATATAAACATTGAAATGTTAAGTGGGGGTTAAAGGGCTTCTAAACCAATACAAAATACATTTACCTTATCTAGTTTAAATCTCTTTTAAAATACCGATCTTTGTTGGTTTTCTTAGTGTATGTGCTGTAGAATTCTTGGGTTCATCAGAAATTTGCGACGATTTGCGATTTCGCATTGATTCAAACGGATTATGGAGATTTTCAACGGTAAAGTTCAAAGTGAGATGAAAAAATTTCTCTGTTTGTTTTCAGCTATTGTTTGCCCGGCGGATTTTCCCTTCTATTCCCACCGTCCGTACTTGAAAAAAAATAAGCTCAAGGTTTAAATAAAAGCGATATATTTATAGAGTAAATATTGCAAAAGTGTCAGTGACCGACGTATCGATTGAACGTCCCCGACCCCATGATCAACCCCGCCTTCCAGATTTAGAATTGCCGACTAGACGAACACGAACCCCCATCTCCTTGGGTGTCTCTTGGGGTGGCTTTTTCCTTTGGCCCAAAGTTTTGAAAAAAATTGTCGAACTCCATCTCTAGATCTCTTCACATACCTCAACATATGGCAACAGTTCAACAAAACCAACAACCGGGATCGGAAAATTTTTACGACCAATTTAAAACGCTTTCACTCATTAATATTCTAAGAGCTAATAGGACTAAATTTAGACATTTTCGATGACCTCCAAATGCATATTTACACATGATGATATATCTAATGTGAAATGTGCTTTCCTCCATCGAGAGGAATTTAATATTAATGATAACATAAAATAACACCCTTAAAAAATCAAAGATGAATTAACTTTGGTTTTAATTGTTTATCTCCTAAATGTTGCTTCCTTTTAAAGATCTTGTTGGTTACTTTTTTTTAAGAACAGTTGCAATTTGTTTATAATTAATCGATCTGAAATATTGTAAAGATTTTATATGTAAAATGATTTGGTATGATTTTAAAAGCTCTGTTGAAGGGGAAGCTGGACTGCTTTAAAATATACAAATTATAAAAACAGATGACGGTAACTGTTCTTAACTAAAAAAAAGCAGCCTACAAGATCAAATATGAATGGTATTTGCTATGGTGCAAAAGTAAATAATAAAATTTATTTCAATCTCTTGTTGGTTTTGTTGAACTAAAACACCAATTTTTTACATGCCATATATTTTCACTTATGCGTTTTGGGACACATCTGCCAACTCCTAGTTCTTTTTAGATGAAATAACAGCTTTGCAGAAGGACCAGGGCCATGTGCCAACAGCTTCTTATTGTAGGATCTTGTGTTTTTCCTCTCCTAGTTCTAAGAATCTATACCTACAAAAACACAAAAACATGGGTGTCTTAAATTTTAAATTTTTTTCAATCTCGGTTTTTGGTTTTGCTGAACTGTTGCCATATTTTGAGGTATGTGAATAGCGTCACAGAAGAGCCATCGGCAAGATTTACAATGGAATTACTGGAAGGTAACTGCTACAGAATGAAGATTCTGGTCGGACTTCTGACAGGATGCTGCCCCACCTAAGTCAGAAGTCCGACCAGAATCTTCGTTCCGTAGCAGTTACCTTCCAGTAATTCCTTCCATCTTTCCGATGGCTCTTTTGTAAAGCTCTTCACATACCTCGACAAATGGCAACAGTTCAACAAAACCAACAACCGAGATTGAAAAATTTTTACAACCAAACGAATAATAAAGAAAAAGAATTAGAATAAAATTCATTAATTATTCAGAAATCGTGAGATGCGGTTTGGTGTGATGTAGGTTTCAGAAAAAACATTTTCTTTATCGTGCCAACGTTTCAATCTTTATTGAGATCATCACCAGGGCTCAAAGTGTTTGTCTTCTGTGTAATTGTGCCATTCTTGCGTGTCGTGTTGAGAGTGCCACACCACACGCAAGAATGGCGCAATTACACAGAAGACAAACACTTTGAGCCCTGAAGATGATCTCAATAAAGATTGAAACGTTGGCACAATAAAGAAAATGTTTTTCTGAAACCTACATCACACCAGACCGCATCTCACGATTTTTGAATAATTATCGATTAACGGTCACTAATCACCACACATAAAATTCATTGTTATTTTAAAATATTTTAATATTTTTTTAATCAAAAAACAAAACAGCTAGAAAAAGTGTAAAATGTAATAGTAATTACTGTGAATATTATTAAATTGCTATCATTTATGGTTTTGTGTCAAACTTTGCTGAATGTGATCAAACCAAATGACATTTTAGATCAGAAATGAGTCTTTCCCTTATTGGAGACATTTTGAGAAATAAGTGTAATTATTAACAATACATAATTAATAAATAAAACAAATTATTTAGAAATAGTTGATGTATAATCTAGTTTGCATTACCCTATATAAATGAAATTTTAATTGAAAAGGAATAATTACCCTATTTATTATTATATTATAACACAATTTCCAATACGCAGTATGAAAATCTACCAGGAAGGAAGCTTTTGAACATCAATGAATGCCTCACAAGTTACAAAAATAAAACATCAAAAAATATAAAAAGAACCAGGAATATCAGATTATTTCAATTTTCTTAACTTACTGTAATATCGGGAGACAATGGATATATAAATGTTTACATAATCCTTTACTTGAAACATGGCATCAATACCAGTAGACATTACATAATAACATAATAATGAATAATTCTATGGCTTACGTTGTCCATGTGAAATTACGATTTCATAGGTCATTACATTTGTAATTTTTATTGTCTGCATAATAATTTAAGTCTGAATGTCTCATTGTCAGCCTATAAGTTATACACAGCTGTTAATGACAGTTGTATAATGGATTGTTTCTCTTGTATTGTTTCGCTTCTAGAAATAAGTCTCAGCTGTGGTTTATAAGCACGCATTTTGCGCATATTGTTCTTTTTAGTTTTTGGATGATGCTATTTTCGATGAGATATATTTATTTTTTTAACTACTTGTACTTATCTTTTGTGTTATCTTCTTTTAAAGTATGTCTCTTTTAACTCATATTAACGCAATGAAATCTTTGATTTTGCATACTTTAATTATTGAGAGATGGCTAAATGTGATTCAAGTTCTGTCATGTAAAATGGTTAAATGTTTCTTACAATATTTGTTCTCTTTTTACCTTTTACTGTTTTCAGTGTAAAAGTAGTTTATATGATGTTTGATCATATGAACAGACACTATCACTATTAGGTTATTTTTACTAGCCGATTATAGTTGGTTTGTGATTAACAATAAGCCCTCCTTAACCTCTCTGTTCATCATCAATTGCAGATAAAATAACACAAATAACAAACACAAAAATATGTACATACAGTAAAACATAATAGTCTGGTTAGCATTCACTCCACCCGAGAGTACTCGATATTATTCGAGGTAATTAAAGATAAGCCCCACATTCATGCTAATAAATTACATTTCACACGCCAGTCTTCATTCACTCTACCCTAGAGTACTCAATATTTCTAGTAATTGGGGATAAGCCCTCCATTCAAATATTCATTCACAGTACCCTATACCTTGTTGAATCCACACTAGCCAAGATGCATCATCAATTTGCAAGTCTCAAAACAATATTGGGTATAGGAACAATAACAAAGAATGACTTAAATATTTTTATAGATGAAAAACTAAATTATTTTTGTTTGCCAAGTTCACAAACTTGATGGATACTAACTATAAGATTTGTTTACTTTCAGGTTAAGTTTTTAAGGTTAAGCTATTAGTGAGTCTATCTATTCTTGCTTCTTGTTTGTGATCACTGATCAGTATGTAGTTCTACTTAAAAGTAGATAGACTTATGATCTTGATGATCTTATATACGAATGTCAAAATAGAAAATGTCTAACTTTGTCTTTTTTAATTCCAGGTTAGCTGCGGCGCAAGAGGCAGCGGCGGCTCGAGGAGCTCGTGACTACAAGAGGAGTTCAGGGCCGACAATGGGCCCACCCCCAGCAGGACCCAACGCCAAGGGTCCGACCTCCCTCTTTATATTAACAGAGGAGAATCCACTCCGCCGCTATACCCGCTTCATCATCGAGTGGCCATATCCTTTAATAACAACTATTAATTAACAATAAACAATTATATGCAAAACACAAATCCTGTGATTTAAAAAACACCACCATTGTTGTTTAAAACTCCCGATATTTTTATTATGATAATAGCAATGATGCTACTTTTGTGAGTTTTTTAACTTAATTTTTTTTTTAATAAACATCATTAAAAAGCAAAAAATCAAGCTGATAATTTAAATAAGAAAAAATATTCATGAAACCCAAAACCATCGGAAAGCAACCGACAGCAGCATGCATGTTTCTAAAGTTTCTGCTATCAAAAAAACTTACAATTTTTAAAACAAAAAAGTTTAAAAGAAACTGATTGTAAATTTGATTAATTATAAGTTTGATTGAAAAAAATTATTCATGCTATTAACTTTATTATTGAGAATGTTGATAACATTCTTTGTCTTCTAAATGAGCATCATTTACCTCCTAAAAAACACTAAAAAATGGGAAGAAATCATAAAAAATAAATATATAAAAATTCCTCAAAACCGTCAAAACTTACAGCAAAAATACTTTTTATTAAAGTTGTGAGATAACTTTCATTATACAAAGAAAGATTTTAAACAAGAACACTGTTTAAAATGATTAAAGTGTCTAGATATAAGGAATATTTTCTTTAATAATATGTTTACTCCGTTTGAATACGCAGTTTTACTCACCATCATTGCCAATTGCGTGGTCCTGGCACTTGAAGAGCATTTGCCAAAAGGGGACAAGACCACACTGGCTAAAAAACTCGTAAGCCAATTATTGTTGTATTTTTTTATTCGATTTGTTTTGTGTTTTTTCCACCCAAACAAACAATAAATTTGGTTTAAGATTTTCTAATTAATAAATAACTTTTACAGGAACAAACGGAGGCCTATTTCCTGGCCATTTTCTGTGTAGAGGCGTCCCTAAAAATCTTAGCGTTAGGTTTTGTACTTCACCGCGGCTCATACCTTAGAAATATATGGAACATCATGGATTTTTTTGTAGTAGTTACAGGGTAAGTACAAATAAGTCTCATCATAGTTAGTATGTTATAATACAGTGAATACGTATTGACTAAATTCGGAAGAACGAGATTTAAAAAGAAAAAAAAATATTTTTTTACTCTGTTTCTCTTTTGCTTTTTTTTAAATTTGGGTGATTGTCTTTTTTGAATGTGATTTGAGCAGGTTACCTTAACATTGGGCTGAGCCTGTCTATATACAGTAGTGAATGTAAATGTTTAGGTCAATGACAATATTCGCAGAGTCGAACGTGGATGTGGACTTGAGGATGCTGAGGTCATTCAGAGTACTGAGGCCCCTGAAACTTGTGTCCCGTATTCCAAGTAAGGGACAGTGTCAACAAGGAATGACCTTTATTTTGAATCATTAGTTACAGGCTCCAGTTGGGCGTGCTCTAGATACTTCTTCGATGATAATAGTTATAGCTCCAGTCAATAGAATAGTGTAGTGCTCAGTGTTTAATTTTTTAGGCAGAATTATCTACAATTAAATGATTTCCCAAAAGATTATTATAAAATCTGAACAAAAATCCCTTCACAGGTATATTCGAATAGTTTATCAAATGGGCCGTTTAATTTTCCAATGTCGACCTTATTTACTACCTATTACTCGCTTTACAGTTAAATATTTATTAATTATAGTAAAATGCTTTAATTAGTTTTGTTTATTTATTAGGGACTTAGCACCTAGCCTTAGACATAAATTTTGTCTGGTCATTCCTTTATTATGTAGTTAGTCGACTATAATCTTATTCATATAATCTAGTAATTATTTATTTGGTGTTCTCATTGGTGTGTGTGCGTGTGTGGATAAGGAGCATTTAGTTTAGTCAACTGAATCAAATATTAAAAAGTCATTAGTTTTGTAGTTTCTAATTATTATATTTGAAAGTTTTTACATTTTAATTTACAGAATTTAAACAGGTGACATTTTTGAATATTTCTTTTCAAATCTTCTCTTTCTAGACCAAATATGAATGTAAACAAAATTCAGGGTCACATAAAATCAAAAGAAACAGGTTTAAAAAATTGGTTAAAACAATAATCTGAATATGATTTCCTGAAACTATATTTTTTTCATGTTTATTAAATTTTCTGTATACACACAAATGTGTCTTTTGTAAGATGCACAATTGAAAATTGTTTCACATTCATGTTATTCTCACATTCGAGATTAATTGCGTACTACTCGTACTGATATTGTTTTGACACTTTAATGTTGTTTTTCAAAATGCTCATTATTTTAAATCTTAACACTAGGCGTATAATGGTTATTTCTAACAACCTAGAGATTGCACTCTGCTTAGTCTGTTTAATAAAATGCATTAATCAAATAGCCTTTTTAAAATAGTTGCAATAACCTTGAACAATAATCTACTATTTAATAATATATTACTAGAATATTGTTTTATAAGTAATTATAGCCTTAGAAACTACTTGAATTGATAAAATAGCTAAACCTTTTATAAACTTAATAATACTTATGTATTGATAATGAAATTTAGGTTCAACAGCCCCTTCCTCAAATTTTCCAGTTTTATATCAAATATATTTATCAAAGAATAATCTGGCTCTTGGTATGGTCTGGATAGAAAAAAAAATTTGTTACTTGCCAAGCTTTCAACCTATTTTAAGGTCATCATCAGGGGAAAAACAATTTTAAAGATGTCTATAAATTGACATAATTAATTTTTAATAAATGGCTTAAAATTTCTTTAGTTTGACTCAGGGCTGAAAACTAACCCTGTACAAGCCCTTGGCAATATTGGGACTGAGTCGGTCTTCAAACAAATTTGAAACCATCTATTTAAAAACTTAATTATGTAAATTTGTAGACATCTTTACGATTGTTTTTCCAGGATGATGATCTTATATGTCAAAAGCTTGGCAGATAACAGTTGAATTTGTTTTTTTCATGAAGATCATACCAAGATCCAGATTATACGGGAGTAAAAAAGTGGTCCATACATCTAACACTTTAAACAGAACTATATTTAAATGTAAACAAAATCTTAAAAAATTGTCTTGGGATGGAAAAGTAGTTTTTCTTTTGCTAAATATCACATTCACCGTAGTACTATCATAACATCCAAAAGTAAAATCCAGTTCTAATTTTTTTTAGAAAGTTAACTACAAACCGATAAAAGTGTAAGTTTTCAAAAATAAGAACAAGCAGAATGTACCACTTTAGGGTGTTAGTCCACAATAACTTCTTAGATTTTTATTTATAACAATATAACATTTATTCTTCTCTCCTTTTTCATTAATAATTACATAATTTCAAGTGAACAATTTTATTTAAACATTTATATTTTGAAATCTTTACAAACTTCTTATGAGTTTAAAAACAAATCTAATAATTCATATACATATAAAACATAGTTTGGTGATAAAACACATTTTTATTTCATTCTGAATAACTAAATGCATCAATTTCAAAAGAATTAAGTTTTAATTAAAAAATTGAAATGAAATCATTCTTCCATAACATGTGCATGTGGTAGGTACCTCGATTACAACACAAGAGGGGAAACAGTGTATAATAATTAATAATAAATAAAATAGTAATTATTTATTTTAGAAACTTAGTGTAGTAAAGTAGTTTAGTTGTTTGTTGAGTAGTGATAGCAGTGTTGGTTCCGCAGGTTTATCACTCTTATCCCCACAAACGATTTAGATATGGATCTTCGCACTTTGAGGGCTATTCGAGTACTGAGGCCCCTCAAACTCGTTTCAGGCATCCCAAGTAAGTTATTGTGAGCCAATATTATTTTAAACAACGTCTCTTAGAAAGAAAAATCTTAAATTTAAAGTCAAATCATTAAGTATTGAGCTTATTATGAAATATCAAGAAGGCACTAATCAATTGCAAATATTACTTACATTAGTCTTCACTTAAATGAGTAATTTAGAATATTAGTATTTATGTAGATGCCTTTTAGTATTAGTATGTTTTTTAAATGTTCATATTGTTATTAAATTAATTTATTACAAAAAAATTTAACATGTTATACAAAATATTATAAAATTTACCAAGTTCAAATAAATTGGCTAATAAAGTTTATTATTTTGCTGGGTGACTATGTTTATTTTTTATTTTCATTTAATAAGACCAAAACGTGAAGAAAACAGTGAAAGATGTACGGCCTAATCTGCACAATCAAAATTATTCAACACTCTTGCATTATAATAAAATTTAAACTTTGTCACACAAAAAAATTCATGAAAGTCATTGCAAAATAAAATTTGTCTCTTCACAATTCTGAATTTTTAACGTAGTCACCATTTAAGCTAAAAACAAAGTTGGCCCACATTTCATAAGTGCTACTGCAAGAAAAAAAACGTTTATTTTACAGTTTTCAAGAGTTATTTTCTTTTATTTAGGTCTGCAGGTTGTGTTGAAGTCTATTATCAAAGCGATGGCCCCGTTGCTCCAGATAGGCCTGTTAGTGTTGTTTGCCATTGTGATATTTGCCATTATTGGATTGGAGTTTTACTCAGGAGCGTTGCACAAAACATGTTATGACCTGGAGGATTTAACACAGATTGTATTAGAAGGGGACGCAGCAACTCCCTGTAACACAGATAATAAGACTGAGGCTCCAACGGGTAAATTATATTTTTTTTTTTTTTTAATTATCACAGAAAATATTTCAATTATTGTATTTTTAATTTTGTAAATACAGGTAGTTTCGTGTGCAATGCAAATCTTTCCGTGTGCCTAGAAGATTGGGAAGGTCCTAACAGCGGAATCACGTCATTTGACAACATCGGTTTTGCTATGTTGACGGTGTTCCAGTGTATAACAATGGAAGGCTGGACAGCAATCTTATACTGGGTATATTTTACTTTTTTTTACTGATTACTTATTTTTATAAGCTCAAATATGCAATGCATGTACTTGCATAGAAACTGTCGCGTCTCGCGGTCTGTGGGCAAATTCAGTTTTGGTTCCAGCAAGCCTCGAGAATCACCCTATGCCATGTGTTGGCAGCTTGGGGTCAGACCTGTTATCCAACCATCCGTTAAGAGGGTTATCTGCAGCTATCATTTCAGCTTCCAACAACAAAGTTCCTAAAACCAAACCCATCCACTCTCCCACTCAGGGTGGAGGAGTACTTGGTATTCCACCATCAGCCTCCACAAATATTATGTAACTAATTTACTTGAGGGTAAACGGAATACTCAATATTCCACCTTTGCCCTCTCAATGTGTCACACTGCACATTCACGCCATTAAATACTTTCATTCTCAACACACACTACTGGACAGAAAACAAAATATCTATAAAGTACTATATGCAATAAAAAAATCCTTTTTCATCCAAGAATCTGAACATGGGTCCCAAATGCTGCAGTGCCCAAGCACAATTCTGATATCAGGTGGCATTTCTACATGCTCTCTATATAGAGCCAAGGAATGTCACCTGTCAATTAAATGGGACATAGTATAAATAATTTATTAAAAATTAGAAAAAAATAATTCAATTTATTTGTTTTCAGATGAATGATGCCATAGGTAGCTCATTTAATTGGCTATATTTTGTTCCCCTCATCGTATTGGGTTCATTCTTCATGCTCAATTTAGTCCTGGGTGTTCTTAGTGGGTAAGAATATTTTTTTAAACTCTAAAATCTATTAAAATTCAAAAACTAAAAAGCAATCAATACATTTTGACAATAATTAAATAAAAAATTATGAGCCTAAAATTCAAGTTGCTCGCTTACAGTGAGTTTTCAAATGAAAGAACTAGAGTTGAAAGGCGAGCAGCTTTCTACAAACAAAGAATGAAACAACAATTCAACATCACTTTGAACTTTTATCTCTCATGGATTTGTGAAGCAGGTAGATCAATAACAAGAAAACCAAAAGATTAAAAAAAACCACCTGAGAAATCCTTAGGGGAAAAAACGTTTTTGATTTAGTGCTTATTCACTGTAATTATTAATCGCGTAAGCCAAGTATAAATATAAAAAATTTAGTATTGGCTATTATTCAACCAGTAACAAACTCCTTTAGAAAGCAAATTATTTATTTAAAACAAAATTAGCTTGATTTAAAGTAGAGTAGATTGTATCATTTTTGTCCTTATTTAGTGAGTTTGCGAAAGAGAGGGAAAAAGTTGAAAATAGACAGACGTTTCTAAAACTGAGGAGGCAGCATCAACTTGAAAGAGAGTTGAATGGTTATGTAGAGTGGATCTGCAAAGCAGGTAAAATTAAAAGCTTTGTAATATTAGGCATAGTAATATAATACACCCCTTTTATTTCTTCGTCTATTATCATTTTCTATTTTAATCGTTTATCTATTTGATTATTCATCAATTACCGATTTACAGAGGAAGTAATATTAGCAGAAGAAAGAACAACAGAAGAAGAAAAGATGCATATAATAGAAGGTAATTTATAAAATTATTACTGCATCTCACATTTTTTAAAAATTTTCTGTTTTTAAATTTAGCTAGGAGAAGAGCTGCAGCGAAGAGAAAAAAGCTGAAATCAATGGGTAAAAGTAAAAGTACAGATACCGAAGAAGAAGAAGGAGAAGAGGAAGGCGAAGATGGTAAATAATCGCCCCATTTCTATACATCTACATTATTTTATTACAAAAGACTATTTTTTTTTTTTAATAATTCCGTTACATATTAATAGGCTTAATTACAGAACAAGAACATTCAAAATTGGTTATTATTTATTTTTCTTATAGTTTTGATTGAATTTGTTACTAAATTAAAGAGAAAGAAAATGGTTAGGATACCAATCAACGCATTTTGTTTCAGTTCCTGTAAAGAAAGACAAGAAAGGTATGAAAGTGGATATTGCTGATAAAAAGTAGTTTGTTGATTATAATATTGATTATTAATTATTAGAAAATTGTAGTTAGACTTTTTTTCGATACAATGCAAAATCAAAGATTTAGCTGTTTATTTTTATTGACAAAACGATTTGACAAATTGTGTCGTGAAGCATGAAAGGTTTTTTAATTGAGTATTTTTTTTATAATAATAGCCTGTACATATAGTGTACATGTAGTTTTAAAATGGTATATCTATTGTAAATCATGATATTGTGTAGTAACTAGAAATTGAATTGAGTAATGTTTTCATGATGAAACAAAAAGAAATAGTAAGCGTGGTTCTTTAGTTGATTGTCTACAATTTAAATAATTATTAATTTATTACATTTAGGAAGGGTGAATTATGCTTATATCACATTTTTAAGCATTATATTTTTCAATGTAGGAAAGATTTTTATCAATATTTTAATTTTATTGAAACAATGTAAATATTAAAAAATTTATAATTAACCTTTTAACTATTATATAAGTAATTATTTACAAATTCATCAATCTACTAATAGAAATTTATTATTGTTTATTTTATTTGTTAAACATTTTATTTATTATTTGTTTTTTATTATAATTTTTTAAGTTTACCATACTTACCAAGTTAAAAGGTTATTTTTGAGTAGGGTCAAAAATATGTATTAAATAGATATTGCTTGTCCATTTTAAGAAAGCAATAGGTTGGAGTTAATTAGCGATTAGTAGAATGATCTAGAGGAAAGAAAATTTTGTGTAGATTTTAAAATTGCTTGAAATTTAATATATATACACATTAAATAAGTAAAGGGATAGTATAGTACTTGTTACTTGTGATACAATTGTAAAATATAAGTTGCTCATTAAATAAAATTAGCAGCAGATATCTTCCTAGACTTTTTCAAGCTGTAGTTAAACAATTAATAATAATAATTTCACAATAGATTAAGTTACAACAAAAATCTACTATTAATTTAAATAAATTGTTGTTTTATTTTCTAAATAAATTGAATTTGTTGTAGGTTTTTCTCGAGCTTCCTACTTAAAGTCGAAAGTGAAAAATAAAGGAGCCTGTGTATCGTTTTGGAGGGCAGAAAAAAGATTTAGGTATGTATATTAAATATAACTATCAGGAAATTCACTTTTTTTTCATTTTTGTGTTAAAAATAATAAATTTGATTTTAGGTTTTGGATAAGACATGTAGTGAAAGCACAATGGTTCTATTGGTTTGTTATTGTGCTTGTTTTCTTCAACACCGTTTGTGTTGCAGTTGAGCACTATGGCCAGCCAAAATATTTAACAAAATTTCTATGTAAGCACACTGGATATTAAACACGAAAAAAAACATAAACAAATTGAACCAATTAAAACATGTATGTTTGTAGATTATGCCGAATACGCATTCTTAGGTTTGTTCATGATGGAAATGCTCGTCAAAATGTATGCTTTAGGAGCGAGGATATATTTTGAATCGGCTTTCAATCGTTTTGACTGTGTTGTGATCTGTGGATCGATATTCGAAGTAGTGTGGTCAGAAGTTAAATCGGGATCTTTTGGCCTATCAGTGTTAAGAGCTCTTCGACTACTAAGGATATTCAAAGTTACAAAGTAAGTGATGTGTGTCCATTTGTGTTTTGTGTTTTCCCTTCTTAAAGTTATAGTTTTTTTGCTCTTCCCTCTGTTAATATCATGTTACAAATGATTATTATATAAATTTTACAATAGAAATGATAAGTATTAGAATTATTATTGGTTCTGTTCGTTCCTATTCATGTGTAAAAATAATATTATCAATCAATTATGTACTTACAAAAAAACTGTATTAATAAAAATTACCTTTCTAAATGTATAAATTATAAATGTATTTATTACATTAATATAAAATTATTATCTATAAGCCAAAATTAACATTAAACAGAACTTTCTTTATAAAGCAAGAACACAATGGAAATAAATTTTAAACTTATTTAAACAATTTTCAACTTCTGTACAATTTTCTCACTCATTCACTTCAATTTTATTATTTAAGAATTTGCCAATGGGCTTTTTGTGATAAATTTTCTTAAGTGAAAATACATTAACAATAAAAACAATGTGTTCTTACTGCAATCGGCTTTTATGTAATTATGTAATTATTTTACTGTTCACATTTGAGCAAATAAACGATTGACAAAAACCAATAAGCAAAAAGTGATACAAGTTTTGCTTATTTAAATTTTAACTTAAAACATTTATATAGTTTATAATATTATGCGTATACATAAATGTATATATTGTCAGAACTATTTGATGTAAAAGTAACAAATGTGAAATATCAAATTTTTTAATTTTCTTAGTAGTGTAGTCCTTTACAAAATTTGTAAAATTACGAACCTGAATGTCATCATTACGATTACAACCTCAACATTAGTTGCTTACAACAAATGTTTTAAACTAATTTTATTAATTAGTTAAAAACTATGAAAATCACGTCAGTGGCAATAAACAATTTTGTGCACTTTATAAGTCATAGTTAAATTAAAATTTAAAAACTCACTAAATACCGTATATAACATTAAAATTCAATTCATTTTTTTTCTCTGCTCAATGCAATAGAAATCCACATTTGTCGCTTTAACATGATGCTGATGATATATACTTACATTTTTTAAGGATAAAACACTGTGAAGACTGACAGTAATTAATTAACAAATGTCTATTCTTTCAATATGAAAGTATCAAAGCATGGGTATATGAACGAGTATATTTGTATTTCATCAGCCCAACAATTAAATTAATTATACAACAAATATAATTTAAAAAATTTACTAACAATGGTATTTGAATAATTTATTTGATTTTAAAATTGTGCTTTTGAAAAAGAATCAAATTAAATTTCTATTGAACTGTTGGGAAATGAGGGCCAAGAATGGATCCAAATGTCCATTTTTTTTCTCTCGGCAATATGTGTTACTACTAATCTGACAAATATTTTCTTTCTTAGACCTAGAGTTGCTTTGTTACACAGTTATGGCTAAATATTTTAATTTGCAAGAGTTATTCACATAAAAGCCGTATTGTTAAATTGTTAAATTGAATTAAATAAACTCTTATAAGTTTAAGTCGTTAAGTTTGTCCAATGTATATGTATTTAAACAAATGTAATTTATATGTAATTCAGGAATTTACAGAGTACTGTATATTTTGTGTGCGTTTAACTTGCTTGTACCTAAAATGCACTGTCTCTCTGTTTCAGGTATTGGTCTTCATTACGTAATCTTGTGATATCCCTTCTAAATTCAATGCGTTCCATTATATCCCTTCTTTTCCTTCTCTTCCTGTTTATCCTAATATTTGCACTACTCGGAATGCAGTTATTCGGAGGTCAGTTTAATTTCCCAGAAGGAACACCACCCACAAATTTCAACACCTTCCCTATTGCCCTACTTACAGTCTTCCAAGTAAGAACTCTAAGAGAAATTTTTTTAAATTGATACAAAATAATAACAAATTATGATATTTGTGGTTCAAGATACTGACTGGGGAGGACTGGAATGAAGTGATGTACCAAGGAATTCAGTCACAGGGTGGTCATAAAGATGGAGGCATGATATATGCGCTCTATTTTATTGTACTTGTGTTATTTGGTAACTACACTCTGCTCAATGTGTTTTTGGCTATTGCTGTCGATAACCTTGCCAATGCTCAGGAACTTACTGCTGCTGAAGAAGAACAAGAAGAGGAAGACAAAGAGGTAGACTTAAAAAAAAAAAAGGAATGTTTAGACATATTTAAACAATTCCATTTTTTTCCTTTTTTTTTTCAATGTCGCTGTATAGAAACAACAATTGGAATTAGAGAAAGAAATGGAGACTCTACAAAGCGCAGATGGGGGTCATCCAAAGGTAGAAGTCTGCCCGCCATCTCCTAGTTCCCATTTGTAAGTAGAATAAAAAAATTATTTTAAAACAAAATTTACTTAATAATACATAACAAATATACTAGTACAAAATGCAGTTCTAAAAAAGAAGAAGAAGACAAAAAGGGAGGTGATACTGATGAAGAAACTGGGCCCAAGCCAATGCTGCCATATTCATCAATGTTTATTTTAAGCCCAACTAATCCGTAAGTTTGTCGATTATCTCAGCTGGAATTTTTTTTAATCTGCTTTTTTATACATTCGACAGGCTTCGTTCAGCGGCTCATTGGGTTGTTAACTTACGTTACTTCGATTTTTTTATTATGATAGTTATAACATTAAGTAGTATCGCGCTAGCTGCTGAGGATCCTGTTGTTGAAGAGTCAACACGAAATGTTATTCTCAACTATTTCGATTATGCCTTCACTGGAGTATTTACTATAGAAATGTTATTAAAAGTACGTTGTTACAAATTATATTTAATTAAAATCAATACACAATGTACATTTTATAATGTGAATTTCAGATTTTAGATATGGGAATAATTTTACATCCAGGATCGTATTTAAGAGAATTTTGGAATATTATGGATGCTGTTGTTGTAATTTGTGCAGCTGTCTCGCTGGGATTTGAAATAAGGTAGGTATTTACTTTCGAAAAAGCTTTGGCATTTATAAACACAAATTAATTTACAGCGGGAGTTCTGCTGGCCAGAATCTGTCGACTATCAAATCCCTGAGAGTACTTCGTGTTCTTCGTCCCCTAAAAACAATTAAACGAGTTCCCAAATTGAAAGCGGTGTTTGATTGTGTCGTGAACTCACTTAAAAACGTTATTAACATACTTATTGTGTATATACTCTTCCAGTTCATTTTTGCTGTCATTGCCGTCCAACTGTTTAATGGCAAATTTTTCTTCTGTTCCGATGAAAGTAAATTTACTGAAAAAGAATGCAAGTAAGTAATAGCCAATTTAAAATTTGGTTTTCCAACACTTATATGTACAAGATACTAACATATTTTTTTAGGGGTGAGTATTTTGTTTACGAACCAGATAGTCCACTACCGAAAGCAGAGAAGCGACTATGGAAACCGAGATGCTTCCATTACGACAATGTTGCAGCTGCAATGCTAACATTATTTGCTGTACAAACTGGAGAAGGCTGGCCACAGTATGAAAATAAATGAAAAATTATTTATCAAAAAACACAAAATAATGAAACTTTTTTTTATAGGGTGTTACAAAACTCAATGGCTGCCACTTATGAAGACATGGGTCCAATTCAAAATTTTCGAATAGAAATGTCCATCTTTTATATAGTATATTTTGTAGTTTTTCCATTCTTCTTTGTTAATATATTTGTAGCTTTGATTATTATAACATTTCAAGAGCAAGGAGAAGCCGAACTTCAAGATGGGGAAATAGACAAAAATCAAGTACGTAAAACAAACGATATTTTGAACTATTTCAAATAAGCACTAATATATTTATCTTGTACGCAGAAATCTTGCATTGATTTTACAATTCAAGCCCGACCACTCGAGCGTTATATGCCAAATAAAAGAAATAGTTTTAAGTACAAAATTTGGAGGATTGTCGTATCAACCCCTTTTGAGTATTTCATAATGATGCTCATTGTTTTCAATACACTTCTACTTATGATGAAGGTATTATTTAGAAATTTTTACTTCTACTCCTAACAATACTAACAACTAAATTTTACTTGTACATACTTAAAGAGCATTGATTATCTAAATCATAATATCTTTAGAAAAGATTTATTTTATTAAAATAAACGAATATTAATAAAATTATGATGTGTATTTATAAAAAATATTAAGATAAAATATTAGTTATATATAGGTTCTTAAAGATCTATCTATTTTCTATATTATTTTTACTTCCCCAGAGAAACATCATATATTTTTTTAATTTATATTTATTTCTACAAATAATTGTATTTGACCAATTATCTTCCTATAATAATGATAAATATAACAGTGTGATTTTTCCATTTTTATTGATGCTCTTTAAATTTAAATCTAATTCACTAATTTCTTCACTGGCTTTCAATGGTCACTGGGTCTGGTTAGAATGCAGATGGTTTTTAAAAAAAACCACAGCTTGCTTTTTAATACAAACTGACAAAATTGGTTTTAGTGCTAATTGTCTTCTTAATAAAATAAACAAAAATAATTATGGTGCTATGTTATCTTTGAAAATTACCATCTCATTACAACGCAGACTAAACAGGAGCTTTTCAAATTAAACTGAACATAAGCTGCTTAAATGCACTTAATAATTTACATTTTTTTTCAGAAAATAATTCAAATAACAGTTAAAAAGCACCAAGCATAAATTGAATGAAAATAGAACGTTTTTTTCATATTTTCCAAAGCGGCAAGGAAAACTGAAATTGTTCATGGCTTTTTGATCAGAACAATGTTTTTCCTACATTTTAAATTGCTATCTTTTACTCCAAATCACACTTATACAAACTACGTTAGATCCACCTTTCACAAATATAAACCACATTAACACACTTTTATATTGATAAGATAATCTTTGCTCAAATTTGGACTGCTTAATATCCTGTTAAGTTCTTAGCACCTTGAAGGCTGACTTTAAAAGGATTCACACTGATAAAATAAATATTTAAATTCAAAATAATTTTTTTTTTACTTCATGCCTTAATCTAAGAAAAAATTATTAGTTTTCTTCAAAATTTGTCTGCTTTGATTTTCAAAAATCAATCACCCTCATCACTCCCTCGGTCTTGTATCAATTATCAATTTTATCGGGTGTGACAGTGTCCACAATGGTTTAGGCGATGACAGAGTGGTCTTTACGGTAAGGTAATCATCCCAGATTCGAACCAGTGGCCCTGTATTCGAACCGAACATATTTACAAATGAGTTTTTTTTTTAAATACCTGCACCCTCAGGGTTCATATAAACCATGAAATCCCCTCATAAAATATAATCGAACTTAAATGATTTTATTTATCTACTGTTAAAAAAGGAAAATATTTTTTTTTTTTTTTTTAATCTGCATATTTCTTTATGCCATATACACTTATGACCTAATAGAAATTTTTCTTCATAATTGGCAGTAATTGACATCATAATTACAAACTCTTTTGAAGCCAGCCTTTATAAAATAATTTACAATTAAATTTTACTTTATTAAAAATTAATTTTGACAGATTATTAACATCTAAGAAAAAAAATGCCTCTAAGAAAACATGCAAGTTGCTGATGGGGCCAATAGGAGATTCCATTTCATTAATGCGCTTAAATACATCATAATTGAAATAACAAAAATTAAAAATAATTTTATTATACTGTACATATTCTTCTTTTTTTAACCATCTTTTTCCACCAATGCACAACACTTTGTAAAAGTGTTGCATCGTAACACTTGTATAATACTAATTTATAAACAAACAAAATCATAATAAATGCACTTTAATTTTTGCATGGTCTTTGCCCTTGGTAAGTTTGTTAATTTGAACTTTAAATTAAACGAAAAGAAAAAACGTTTGTCGTGGATCGATAGATTCATTTCATATGTTTTTTCTTTGCTATCTGAACAATAGGCCATCCATTGTACAATGTATTTGAGCACATAGCATGATTTCTATCTATTAAAATCATCAAAAGTAGATAACTAATAAACTAATTGGAATTTTCAACAGGAATATCAACCTTATTTTTATATTAAAATTGTTTTTCATGCATGTTCACATATATCATAAAAATCATCATTTTGATTAAATGTTAATATTTTTACAATATAAAAGTTTTCCTTGATAATGTTCTTTTTAGAAAACACCAGTTGTTTCACTGTGCATTGTAAATGGTTCAAATCGTGATTTTTTTTCTTACTAAATTTAATATAATTTTCATAGCATCTTAACACACAAAATTCGTTAAATAAGATGATGCTAATAAAGTACCATATTTTGGTGCATTTTTACTTTTTCCATCCTTCCTCAGTGCCCAATTAAGTCGCTGCTATTATTTATCAAAACTTTTTTTTAAATTTTTGTTTATTCAAGCACAAGCATCACAAGCGCTTAAGGATTTAAAATATAGTAAATGTTTCAAATCATGACTTTTATCAACATTAAATTCCTACTAAATTCAACATAATTTTAATAGCGCCTTAAATGCAAAAATTATGTAGTAAGGTGATGCTTATAAAATTCCTGATTTTGGTGTACTTTTACTTTTTCCATCTTCCTCAGTGCCCATGTTAAATCAACTTTTTACTGCTAATATTTATCAAAGCATTTAGTCAATTTTTTTAATTTTAATTTTTGTTAATTCAATCACAAGCATCACAAGCGCTAAAAATATTTAATTTTTTAAACTACAATTCAACTGTAAAAGAAATTCATCTTATTTCATTTCACCATTTGGCTTTTTTTTTTACAATTTCTAGTAATGATATGATGCTACTTGATAGCATGGTAATTTTTGGTGTTTTTTTACACGCTGAAATTGTGCACTTAATGGATCAATTATTCTATCATAATTGAATTACTATTTGCCTTAATATTTTGGTGGCATGGCTTTTGCTTAAGAATTTCAGCAATATGAATAACACTTTTATACACAGCTTTGTTTCTATTTTTTATTAGGGTTTACTACTGCTCATGTTGTGGCTTCATTGAGAGGCCTGTTTTAACTGTTTTTATGACAAGTAGATTTGAAATTTACTTTCTCTCTATTATATATATTTATATATTTGTGTGTATGTGTGTTTTTTATTATTAATTGATGTGACTCTGGAGCAATCCACGACCCTTATCATTCATCTGTTGTTTTTTTTCTCTATATATATAATTTGGCTCTTTGTTTGTTTTGGGCGCCACTCTCTCATTACTAGTATCACAAGCAAAGCACTATATACAAGAAAACTCTTAACTACATGAACATGGGTTTCACTGGCATGTTCACGGTTGAGTGTATTCTCAAGATACTCGCATTTGGAGTGAGGGTAAGCAATGTGATATAAACAAAAACCAAATAATAGCATTGTACATTGTTCTTTCCTAATTGAAACAAAAAAGTTATAAATCATGAAATAAATACAATCACTTTTTTTTATAAAATTTATTGAATGAATAAAAACAATGTACATTGTTTATGAAAGAAATTTTAATTATTTGTAACATAAAAAAATATTGTGAACTGCCTTTGCTGAAGAACTTTTTCAGAATATTTTTTAATTATATTATTTTATAATACATGTATAGTCGAACTCACGGTAGGTTGTATTCTTATTAAGGTGAAACTGTAATTAAATGTCTAAAAAAAATGACAAAATCTATACAAAAAGTCATTTTTTATAATAATTTGAACACCTTTTGTAGCACTTTCCTCCTTAATGCATTAATTAATTTATTTATTTTAATTTTATTTATTGTGAGAAGCCAAAACTAGACAGATATATTATAGGTGATTCTTTAATTAACTTTATTATTGAATTATGAAATTTTTTTAGAAATTTAAGTCATTGGCTGTGCCTAATCGTGAATTAATTTTGATTTTGAAAATAAATTATATAAAAAAAAAATCAGCGACAAAAATTGAACAAAAAATTTTCACTATTTCTCCCAAATATTTCTTGCAATTTTTGTAAATATTGACAGCCAATAATCAGTAATAATAGTTAATAAATACAAAAATAGTTTATGCCTAAGTAAAAAAAGTTTTTTGAACTGATTTAATGTTACAAGAGATAATGAATGCTGTTAATTAAAATATAAAATGCCATGCTGATTTCATGATTGGACACAGCCTATTTATAGTTTATAGTTGTAGCTTAGCATGGATTAGAGCATGTGTTAGAACTTTGCATGTTAATATTTTTATTATATAGCACAACCACACCAACACTCTTTTTATTTGTAATTGTAATATATATATAAATTACGTCAGGGTATGTTACCCGATTCCTGTTCAACACATCCAAATTCTCTATAGAATCAATTGATTAAAAACCAAAAAAAAATTTATGATAGATGTTGATGGTTTGCATAAATATAGTTTTGACTGTTACCAAATCTGGGCCAAATCCAGGTATAACATGTCTCTCCTTTGGCCCCATTATGACTCATGATGTGTACAATTATTTTCTTACTCCATCGGCCATATAAGCTCATCTTTTCTCTAAAGAAATTACTATAAAAAAAAAAGATTGGTTTATTGACGATGGAGTGTAAGTTAGTCAGTGTAATGATTGCCTTGTGATGTGTTCTCTGGCAGTATCGTGACGCCCCGCCACTCCTCGATGATATCCTACACATTATGAACTTGGTCTTCACATCTCTATTCCTAATAGAAACTGTTTTGAAACTCATCGCGTTTGGATTTAAGGTGACAAACAAGAGTTCAGTTTATTATCATTTATCTTGATAATATTGAAGGATTTTATATATATTTATTTAAAATAATGTGCATGTCAAAATAAAAAATAAAAGTAAGTTGTTTTTTTAACTTGCATTTTTTTATAATTTATTTTGAAGAATATAAGCGCTGAAATTTCTGCCTCACCTCTATTTCAAATGTAATTATCAAAAAGAAAAAAAAAATCAATCCATTTTCAAAAAATACAAATCTAATATAACATGCTTTAGACTGCCCATTTACATTGATTTAAAAACAAAACAAAAGACTTTTTTTTTTAAATTTAATTTTAGAAACCATTGTAGTATAGATTAGTAGGTAAGTTTGTTTGCTGCTTTTCTTTTTACCACTTAAACATTGCTGTAGAAGTTATTTTAGTGGCCAAGCTGCTGCATGTCATAAGTTTGGTTGAATTTATAATAATCCCCACATTAAAAATATATATAAATAACTATATAGCGAGAGAAATGCAAGTTATTTATTTATACATATTATATTTATTTATATATGTATTATTATAAATACTGTATGAAATAATGGCACAACAATTATAGACTGTAGTACAAAAGTCTAGGCGTATAAGAATAAGTACTGTAAATGGCTTTTCAACTTTTTGTGGTAAGAAAGGGCAGTTCATATTGATCATGTTTTAGTCGTAGTCTAACTCATAATTGCTGTTTTTCATTTATTTCATTTCCAACATTTACCACTTATACTTTTAAAATGAAATAATTAAAATAAAGTCTTTTTAATTATTTTGATATAAGAAATTTCCAATTTTTGTTCAAATAAACATGTTATTTTATGTAATCTTTTATTATACTTTATGATGATCAATATTGTTAAAAAATAAACAAAGTTTATAAGTGAATAAATGGAAATGGTTTTTATAAACATATTTAAAGTCTTTTTAAACTTTTATAAAACTTTTTATTAAACAGCAAATAATGACTTTGACTATGTTAGTTCGTATATTTGAACTTTATAGCATAACATAAATTTTCTGCTAAGGGAGAAGTAAGTTATTAGAATGTTGATAATTATTTTAGAGTAATTTTAAGGAAAAATGTTTTTATATTTTATAATGTGTTAATATTTACATATATTTTTTTTTAATGTATAAAAAATTACTGATTTGTACATTGGAAGATAGATAATTTTTTAAGTAATTAATTTTTAAAGCTCGTTCATTTGTAAAATAATCAAATTGTGTTTTCTAGAATTTCTTCAAAGATCCTTGGAACACTTTTGATTTCATTACAGTAATCGGAAGTATTGTTGATGCACTTGTTCTTGAGTTTGTGGTAAGCATTTGCAAGGTGTTGTTTTTTTTTTAGTGAATTTAGTGAAATTCCATCTTGCACTTGTAATTTTTACAGGAAAATTCATTCAATGTGGGGTTTCTACGTTTATTTAGAGCTGCAAGACTTATAAAATTATTACGGCAGGGATATACGATACGTATTTTACTCTGGACATTCGTTCAATCTTTTAAAGTAAAACAAATACATTATTATAACTTTTAATGTAATAATTAATTTTTTCTTTTGTTTTAACCAGGCGCTGCCTTATGTCTGCTTGTTAATTGCCATGTTGTTTTTCATATACGCTATTATCGGAATGCAGGTATGATTTTTATACACTAATTTTCTTTTTTATTTAATCTAAGTGAATAATGAAAATAAAAATATTTACAATTTGTCTCTTGGTGATTTGGGATTGTACCAGATTAATATATTAATTTAAAGTTAATTTTGAATATTTTACTCAGCAGCTTACATTTTCCTCATTGACACTTTACTATAATATGTTTTTATTATTCATGAGTTGGTCCTAATCCAACTTTTGTGGATAATTTAGTTAAGGGGATTTTGTGGATAATAAAAATCCAAGTTTTTTGAAAGATTATAACACACTCATGAATAATCTGGATCTTTGTGCGGCCTGGATGAAAAAAAAAAAAAAAATCAATTGTCATCTGCCAAGCTTTCAACCCATTTTAAGGTCATCATCAGAGTAAAATCTTAAACATGTCTACAAATTGATATAATTAAGTTTTTAAATGGTTTCAAATTTATTGAAAATCGATTCAGTCCCAACATTGCCAAGGACTATAACAAGGTTACCTTAAAACATCTTTAAGATTATTTTGCCCTGGCAATGACCTTAAAATTGGTCAAAAGTTTGGAAGATGGCAATTGAATTTTTTTTCACCTAGACCATATTGGACTTTTGGAGCAACAGGCTGTCACTCCTCAGTGTATTACCCTAGGGTCTATACATCAGGGAGTTCACCCACTGCGTTATGTGGCTGGGTTGGTAGTTCCCCCTTAATCCAGGTGCCCAGGAGATTGTCGCTTCCCTACCAACAGGGTTAGTCTCCAATGGGGACTATCAACAGCAAGGTTATTCAGCCCCAAACCCATTTAAACTATAATAATTAATAATAAGCCTAATGTCAAAAATCAAAAAAAGCCTAATCAAAAAATATATGAAGAATCTTTGCTGGAAAGATTGGCTGGGACAAAATGACCGACAAACTAAAAGAACTAAAACAGTTGGTCAAACCGTGGGCCATGGATAGTATGAGCAAAATAGAGAGAATAATTTTGACCCGACTGCGAATAGGCCACACTAGACTGACGCATGGTCATCTCTTGGCGAGGAAAAGTCCACGGAGATGCCCATTGTGTGGCACACAAATAACTGTTAAACATTTACTAACTGGATGCGAACTATTGGCGCCACACAGAACAAAGTGTGGCCTTTCCTCGAGCTTGAAAGAGGTTTTGCAACACAGCAATGACAACAGCAAAAAAGTAATCAAATATCTGAAGCAAATAAATGCATATGGTCGCCTTTAATGCTTCTCCACACGTGGTTTCATTTTCCCTTCCTGAAGTGAGTGTATTTATTGGCGAGAATGTGTGAGTGTATGGGTGGGTAGTGGTCGGAATATCAAGTACCCCACAGACCCACCAAACTAGGATAGATATCTCTTTGTGTGTTTTTGGTACAATGAATGTATTTATTGACGTGAAAGTGAGTGTGTATGGGTGGGTTGTGCAGGAATATCGAGTACTCCACAGACCCACCGATTTAGGTTAGTATTAGGCTATAATATCTTTTAGATATAGATAAGTGACTCCGCATTTTTTAATTTGTAAATACAGAATGATTGGTTACTGTTTGAGTGAATGTATTTATTAGTGCGATAGTAGTGTATGCATGGGTGGGTCTATGGTGGAATATCAAGTACCCCATAAACCCACCACCTAGGTTAATGTTTTAGATTAATTGTAATTTTAATTGTACATAATGTATGGATGTATTTATTAGCGTGAACGAGGGCGGGTCTTCAGAGGAATATCGAGTACTCTGAAACCCGCATATAGGTTAAGCTAGGATTGAATGTTATTGAATGAGATAGTTTCTGAGCCTTTTCACCACATGTGAGAGGGCTAAAAATGTAGAAATAACGTCCCAGAACACAACCAGAAAGATCGCCAGACTTCCTACAAAAAAGCTAATTTAAAAAAAAATAATAATAAATAAATAAAAATAAATAAATTTATAAAACGTGAGGTGGAAGAAATGTGAGGTGCCGGCAATAGCCCAGGCAGCTAGCCAGCCGGGGGGGGGGGGGGAAAAAGCCTAATACTAATTAAATTAGATCATTCAATAAATAAATACATTCATACATAATGACGAAACATATAGGATGTAACTATATACTGTGAAAAAAAAGAAGAGGACTCAAAAACTGCCTGCTGGGCTCCAGAACCATTCTTAAATCTGGCAGAATGCCTACATGCTCTCTATATGGAGTCAACATATGTCATGCCTCTATTATGTGACAGAATCGAGCAACCTTTCTCTGCATATGGGTCACTTTGGCCCAAAAGCGGCCTATGTTCAGGTCATATCAAAATCCAGATTATCCGTGCATAAAAAATTGGTCAATACATCTGACATTTTAATACTAATTTCCATAATAGTCATTTAGATTCACTAACTTCATGACTTGTCTTATTCATTCTTGTAAGGGAAAAAGAATCCGTAAATTATCGCCTAAATATCGGTAACTATGTAATTTAAAAACAGAACAGAAATATAAGACAAAAAGACTGATTAAGCCAAATCAGTGACTTTCCTTATAAATTATTCACAAAGATACTATAACTTGGTATAGTTTTCAATGATAATAAAATTTAAATGACCACTAAACTCAAATATTACATATAATAAAGCATTATTATGCAATTTACTTGTACTTTAATTTGCATTACTTTTTTTGTAACTTATATCATAATCTACATCCTAAAACATCAAAAGGCATTATTTTTCTTGTGTTTTCGACATATAATCATATTACATTACATATCGTGTAAATGAATAATGGAGAAAAACCTTTCTTTTTTTTATATTATATGTTTTTAATTATTAAACTTGTATTTTATATTAATATTTAAAAAAAGGGGCATTTTATTTTACTGGATTGCATTTACATAACTTAACATTATTTTCTATCATTTAATAGTAATTATAGATTTTATTTCAATAGTTTAATTAGGAGAATAGAGATTCTTATTAGTATGAAATATGATTTCAAAGTGAAAATAAATCTAGTCTAGTATTATTAGGGGTAGGAGAAGTAAATACATTTTTTTCAATGTAAGTTTACACTTGCAGTTGTTGATATAACAGTAGAAACCTGGATTTTTAAAACATTTATGCATCTTTATTTATTTTTTGAAAAATTCAGCTTTGAGATATTTCATGTGTAACAGTTACAATACATAAAATTACATTTTTTTCGCAATGTTCATAAAAGTTATCACTAGTTAATATGATTATAGAAAAAAAACAATAATTAATTATGTAGTTTAGTTCTTTAAGGAATAGATTTCCAGGCTAGTATAGTTTTCCCATAATTATCTATTTGCATGGGGTTTTTGAAGGTGTTTGGAAACATGAAGTTTATCCCCGAACAATCAGTCAATCGGCACAACAACTTTCAAACTTTCTTCGGTGCTCTGTTGCTGTTATTTCGGTGAGTCGCTGAACCAAAAGCGAACAAAGAAACATTTGAAATGTTAAAAAATCCTGCAACTCCAAATATAGTATTGAACACCACTAACATTTAAAAAATCTCCCTACCATTAGTTCCTCAATAATGTAAATATATATATACATATCCTTCCTTGTTGTCGTAATGTTGTAATTATCGTTTTATTGAGAAAAAAATGATAATAATGATAAAGGAACGACTTCTATGAAAATTAGGTTTGTGTAGCGGTCTCTTGGGAATTAAATTGTGGTATAGTGCCTGTTTGTGTATCTATAATTTTAGATTAGAAAGTAGGATATTAGGTGTGTCAAATAGAGTGTAATTTAATGTAATGTGTAATCGCAAAATTATATATTTTGACTTTTGTAGGGTCTGTGTCAAAATATATATTAAGACGAAAGGATTTTTTTTTTTTTTTTTGTAATTAATCAATTTATTTTTTTAAAGAAAGCACATTCAGAGGATAATTGTCAATAATCATTAGTGATATGTATATGTGTTTAGTGCACATTATAGTAGTTATTGCCCCTTTGAAAGTATGTATGTTTGTCGTGTGCCTAATTATATATTAATTTCTTCCCCAAAACCACTTGTGCCTGCTCACCCTACGTAGGTGTTCGGTAACATTGCGCTCGACCCAGAAACATCTATTACACGTCATAACAACTTTCGCAACTTTATCCAAGGTCTCATGCTACTATTCAGGTAATCACTAAATTTATTATATTCAAAAAACAAAACTAACATTTTTATTTATTTTTATTTTTACATCAAAATTATCAATTTATAAATTGTGTTGCTTCATAACTGAACTTTATTCGTTATATTTTAAACATTAAATTTCTGTTAAAGGTGATATGTCAAATCATATACATTATTGTACATTATTTTGGAAATAAATTCAGCTATTATTAATGAGTTAATTCTGCATGGTAAGCGGATATGCCTCTGTTATAGTTAATTGTATGATTAAAAAGCATTGTAAGTTGTTAAAAATTTAATTTTTAAAACAACAGTGCAGTAATTCATACTTGAACAAATTAATTTTTTTCTGTTCACGAATGAAATCCAGACAACTGTTTATTATTTTACCCAATTCGCACATCAGTGAATACGGTGCATGTTAACTGTAATCCTGTAAAGTTTACAATTAGCTATAAAAGATAAGTATAAAATTCAAATGATTTTACAGATTTTATATGAGAACTTCTAACAAGTCTGGAAGACAAAAAAAACGCTAGAACCACAAATCTAAAAGTCATGAGTAACTGCAAACACGATTAAAAGCATGAAACACTATGTAATAAAAAGACACATAGCTTTTCCTTATTTTCCTGTGAAAATACCTATCAAGTATCTTGAACTAAATTCAATGCATAGTAATTATTAGTTGTCATGCACATTTATATTTCAGGTTATTAAATGATTTGTAACTGAATTAATAACATCGTGTAAATAAATATTGATAAATTTACAGTAGTTTGATGTGAGAATGATTGCTAATTAATTAATATTAATGACAACATGTGAACAATTAAGCATGAGCACATTCTGTGCCTCTCCATAGTTCCATTTTTTAATTTAAAAAGTTTGAAATGAAGTAATTTGTTTTTAATGTAAAAAAATACGTATTAATGTTTATATAATTGGTTTTTTAGATGTGCTACTGGAGAGGCTTGGCCTTCTATTATGTTATCATGTGTCAAAAACCGGCCTTGTGATCCTAGAGCTGGAAAAGTTGGGAATGAATGTGGTTCAAGCCTTGCTTACGCATATTTTGTATCATTTATTTTCTTCTGTTCATTTCTTGTAAGTAATTTCGAAATAAAGTGCGGCCGGGTTATGATGTAAAAACTATTGTTTCAGATGCTCAATCTTTTTGTTGCCGTCATTATGGATAATTTTGATTATTTAACAAGAGACTCATCCATTTTGGGTGCCCACCACTTGGATGAGTTTGTAAGAATATGGGCAGAGTATGATCCTAATGCTACGTAAGAATTTACCCACTTTAAACAAAATGCAAATAAACACAATCGTATAAATTTTGAACTTTTTCGCTGTTCTAGGGGTAAAATTCATTATACGGAAATGTATGACATGCTGAAAAATATCGATCCACCACTGGGCTTTGGTAACAAGTGTCCAAACAGGTTGGCATATAAAAAATTAATTAGGATGAATATGCCAATTGATTCAGATGGAAAAGTGAACTTCACCACGACCTTATTTGCACTAATCCGTGAAAATCTCAGCATTAAAATGAGAAGCGGTAAGATCAAATATGATCAATAAATCCCAATATTTGATTTTCAAAGTTAAATTAATTTATATTTATTTATTCATACACGAATTAAAGTTGTCACTTTTGATTATTTACTAACTTCAAATCTAATTTCAGCGGAGGAAATGGACCAAGCAGATGAGGAACTTCGTGACACTGTGAGGAGCATTTGGCCACTGCAAGCGAAAAAAATGTTGGATTTGTTAATCCCCAAGTGCAGTGGTGATTATTAGTTTTTCTTATTTTTCACTACAACAATTAAATTGATTTTCTTGGTGTTTGATCTGTCTATGCAATTTACAGATTCAGGAAAAGGAAAATTAACCGTAGGAAAAATATACGCAGGACTTTTAATACTTGAATGTTGGAGGACGACAAGATTCGGTCAGATAGAATCATCAGGTGCACCCGTGAGTATAATAAAAAAAAAAGACGAAGTTTTTTGTTTTTTCAAATTCATGAATCACTTCTTTTTTGTGTGCCTTACAAATTTCATCAATCTCTTTGAACATTTTCCCACTTCCTTGCATTAGTGCATCGTACTATAAAATTTGAGTGAATTTTACTTCCATCACATCATATATGTTTACTACTGCAATTATATATCGGTGTTTGCACCAAACCTTAAATATGAATTTGAAAGTGATAAAGGCACTTTCGCAACGATCACTTTGATAGGATTTTTTACATAAAATTTATTTTTACATATGCCTTCTTGTATTATTTACATTGAAACGTTGATGTGGAGTGATGTGATGTACAATAATTACTACTGGAACCGAACTTTAAACAAAAACTCATCAATTATTTAGGAAACTGTTAAAAGAAATATGCAGAAACAAGCTGTTTTGATCAGTTGATAATTTTAGCAGATACGTAACATTTACCCAAATGCAACTATTATACAACATTAGTAAATTTAAATCTGAAAATTTGAGAATTATTATGAACAACAGTCAAGTAAAAATTGCTTTCAAAGACCAAATACCAAATTTAATATTTATAATTTTGATTATATTGTAATTCCATAATTTGCCATTGAATGGCGAAACAAAGTGCCAGGTAACCGGAAAAGTTTGTTTGTAATATGATATTGTTTTATTACTGTTAACATTTCTATTTCCATGGAAGGATTAGATGTTTACATCATAATACCAAAAGGATAATGCGTCAATTCATATAGGAAAAGTATCTCGAACATTTCACTGTAAATTATAAAATATTTTCTTTCTCATGGCTTCAAAACTCACAATTCTCGCATGCTTATTGTATGAGTTTAAGCTCAGTACTAGGTTGGCCGAGGCAGCTCATAAAATTTTCACCCGAATCGGTGATTGAACAATGAGTGAGCACCCTGTTCAAAAGTGGTTCATAAAGTTTGCTTCTGGGATGAGGGATTAAAGATGAGTCTGGCAGACTTTTGGTCTTTAATGATGACGAATTAAAGAACTGAATAATTGAATGAAATAATTTTTCACCAGAATATCAGACCTCACATAGCCAGAATGATAAAAGAATAAACCTTGGTTGGGACGTCCTACCCCACATTCTCTGTACTTCCAGACCTGGCTCATCTGACTTTCACCTTTTCTTAACAATGGACAATCATATGCACAATCGGGAGTTCGATAATTGCCAACAGCTTGAAAATAAGCTAAATTTATTTTTTAAGTCGCTCAAACTTGTATAAAGGCATAACTGGGCTAGTAACTCAGGAATGGTTTAGATGACAATGGCGACTATTTCTGAATAAAATATTTCTAAACTAATTTTAATTGTGACAACCCTTTAAACCAGCACAAACTTTCCTGGCTGCCTGGTATTTTATGGCCAAAAATAAAATATGAACTTCAAGGTATTTTCAACAGTTATCACACCAAATTTTATCCTAGAAACTTTAAAAAAAAAAGTAAGAAGACTAATATATTTATAGCATAAAATTTAAAAAGATTCAAGACCATAACATATTAGCTGTTTACATGTACCACTTTATCTTCCTAATAATAATTTTTCCTTACCTTCAGGTGAATGATCATGTTTTCATATCATTATTTTTTTATATAGAACAATAATGCAGTTTATTGTAAATGTGCTTACAAACAAAATTAGACTACATTTAATTATAATTGAAGAAAGCTAATCAAATCAAAAGACAATTTTCAAAAAGGCATAAGCTCATACAAAATTGAGTAGTATTTAATAAAAAGCAAAAAAAAATGGAATTGCATGAATTTTGATAGTTTAAAAAAATTATATTATAAAACAAAAATATATAAAGAAATGGACAAGATTGTTTAAATTAGGCAAGTTGCTGAACTGATAATTAACCCTTAGGGTCGACGGTTAACAAGACATTTGTCTGTCGGAGAACAAGAATCAACCTGCTGAATCGTCGATCATTCTCTTATCGGAAAATGATCAACAAAGGAAATAAGTAAGAGAATGGAATGAATTATTAAAATCTAAAAGATTCATGGGAAAATATACAATGCCTACTAACAGCTCTAAAGACATGTGCATGAAATTAACATCGTTACACTAAATTGTGTGCTCATAAAAAAACATAAAGAATAGATTATGATGAAGACTATTTATATTAGTTATGTGTTTATTAACACAGCATCTCTCTCAGATATGAACGTTATCTTTAAAATCCTAGGCCTTTCCCAGTCATCTGGATTTTATTTTTTTTAAAATAATATTTAGATATAACAAATGGTTTATTCATAGCATAATTTAAAAAATATCTGTACATTCATATTTAATTTGCTAATGATAAACAACTACAATAGATAAATGGCTTTGGAACAAAACCTTCAGCGCCAACAAAATTTCAAATGGTTGATTCTATTTCGCTAAATAAACTTTTGACATAATTTCTACAGGTTTTTGGGAAAATTCAGTTGTGTCATACCCAGGGTAAACCTATGCCTATGTATATTAAGCATAATAATTTTGGTTTAAAATGCAAATCAACAGGAGATTAAAAAAATCAAACCGCCTCAATACAAGTTGCTGTTCATCCACTCAACACAAAACAACATATTGTAATGGATCATTTTACTTATTTGTTCTTCTCTTCTATAGAAATGTGTCGTATTATGAAAACTGAAAAAGTTGCATATTAGAACTCCTATTAGAATATGGTTAGAAACCCCCACCGATAAATTTAGCACCTGAAAATTTTAATATCTTCAGAATCCAAAAGAAATTAGTATTAGTGTAGAAATGTGAAAAAATATACATATACCTTTCATTAGAAAATCCTTTTAAAATGTACAGAAATGGTCTGATAAAAGTAGATGTGATTTCATTTCATTATTTACAACGAATTTATAAGAGGGTGTCTACAATTTAAATACTTAAAAGAGGATGATTTTATTTTATTTATTTATCTTTTATCAAAAGTAGTGAAATCAAGTAGAATGTGTAGATGAAACATATCTAGAAAAAAAAGAGTTCTCTGCTGTCGTACAGAGAACGAGTAACATATATCTTTCGTTTCAGGGTTTCAGTCGACATAGTCCCTCCAACCCTAACGAGGCGGTAGTATTCTTGTTATAAACAATATATTCTTCATATAATTCAAAACTTTATTTCTCGTAGTTGCGTTTTTACATTGACATTTTTAATTCATTGCTTTGTTTATTAGATTTCTGCAGCACATTTGTTATTTTACAATACTTAAAATGAATCAGGCAAAAAAGGGCTTTTCTCACATTCAACTTTTGGAGCATTTTAGGTAGTATTTTAGCGTTTTATTGTCTGGTTCATAAAGAATTTCAAATTTAATTACTACCAAAAAAAATGAATGCCTCAAAAGCTAAAATTGCATTTACTTTTTATCATTGATTTCATTATTATTTACTATGCATAATTTTTTTATTAAAAGTATTGTTATTTTCCTTTTAATAGTTTAAAACAATTAAATTTAAACTTTTTTTTAATTACCACGCACAACTACTAGTGGAAACTTTAGTTTTAGAAAATTTTGTTTACGGTAGATGATTCTTGGAATGCAAAATAATAAATAAAATAAGTTAAAAACTAAAGCATGATCTGAAAATAGAAACTGCAACTATAGCAAACTTAAAAGATGAAAATCTATAAAAAGCAAAAAGTCCATTCTAACACACAAATAAACCTTAAAAATTGCCTTTAAAAAGACAATTAAATAAAACACTGTCCTTTTTAATTATACTTGTCCATTTCATAATTCATGTCTTGCCATGAGAATGTTACCTTTTTTATACATATGAAACATTTTATTAGAATATCGAAACTTTAGCGTGTATAACATAAAATTTGATGAGAGTTTAAACATTAAAAAAACAAAACATAGATCATTATCTTAGACCATTTATGAGATATGCTTCTTGGAGAAATTATGTAAATTCTGTAATCATGATATCCCCATCATTGAAAAGTTTTGTACATTGAAGATCTTTTCAATGGTAATAGCAAGGAAAAATATGCTACAATGATGTTTTCATATAATATGTTAGAATGATAAACTACTATAAATCAATTTAAAACCTGTTTTGTCTCAAAAATGGTCAAAAATGCAAACGTGGCATGAATTTTGTCCAATACGCTTACTTTTTTCTAAATAAATTTTGAAAGGCTAAATTTTAAACTTAAATTAACTTGGATTTGATATTTCAACTGAACCAAATACCATTTAATTTATATTTACAAATAAGTTTGTTTAGACGTATTGGAAAACGAAATTTTCCTGAGGAATTTGTACCATGTGGCATTGCCAAAGTACAGAATCGTATTTTCTATTGTAGCGTTAATAACAAATTTACTGTAGTGTAAAGACAGAAAAAATTAACAGTTAAATGCACCAGGGTCTACATTAAAAAACACTAAATGTAAACAAAGTATTTACCATTTAAATTAACATCAATATCACAATAATTTTATATTGTGCAATCTAGTACTTATCAAAAATCTAAAAATAAAGTACACCATATTTAATTCAGTCATATAAACTATTATTTATTATAATAATAATATTAACTTAATAGTTTAAAAATCTTGATTTATTAACTTGTTACTGCAGAAGTTTTAGAAGTAATACCTTACTTTCTCCATATGTTAAGAATTTCATCAACATCAACAATTTTTTAATCGGTTTAATTAATATTTGTTAACACAAACACTTGATATATTCACTATTATTAACTCTGAAAGTCAGCTTTCACTTGCTTTTCTTGACTCGACATTTTTACGTTAAGAAGCTTTGAATTTTTCTGCACATGCATGATACATTTGGGTTAATGTATTTGCATAAACGAAAATTAATGAGAATGTTTGATATTATTAGGAAGTACCGTTTAAAAAAGAGAAAAAAAATTGAAAGTGAGTGAGAATGGCTGAGAGGGAGAATGAGAACTAAGTTTTACAACTGCATGAATAATTTTGCACAGTGCACAAACAAGTTACAAACTTTTCTTAACTATCCCCTTTCTTTATTGTTGTTCTTTGTTTATTTTTTTGCTCAAGTCTCCTGTTCCAATTTTATTTTCCACACTGATTTAGGCTTTTTTTTTAGATGAAATATAAACAATCGATGAAATATAAAATGAAATAACAGACAAAACACAATACACATATTACAACAACATATAGTTTTTTAAGGACTTTACTTTTAAGCTATTAGTATTATCCAGCATAAACAATTCTTTAATTTTAAGTAAAAACAATAATAGTAATAACTCTTTCACTAAATATAATATTGAAAACTTGTTAGTATGTAACTATAATTTATAAGAAAATGTTTTTAACTCCACTACTGAAACAATAATAAAAAAGAAAAGAAACAAAAATTTTCTTTTTTATTATCAACATTGAAGAGAACTCGTTTATGGTAAATCAAAAAACAAACAAAAACCTTGAAAATGCATGAATCTTGTTCTGGCTTGAGCCTGAGTTTGTTTCCACCAGCGCTCGTCGTTTTTTAACTGCCTTCTGGATGTCGCTGCCGGAACATGGGCAAACAATGGTCGACACGAGGATGACGAAGCAAGCTGCCTTCTATCCAGACGCAACACACTACGCTCAAAGTAAGTCAACATTCAAAAATAAGTCTTTCATATCTATCTGAAAAAATTAATAAAGCTAATTTCAACCAAACCAATTTTTTTTTTATTAACTGAACATGAAACTGAATTCAGAACTTTGACATAGAAGCTACATCATACCGAACTACTCTGTTAGCAGACAAGCATTAAATTTAAAAAAAATATTTTCACTAATAATCTGGATCTTCATATGGTCTGGATGAAGAAACAAATTAAATTGTTACTGCCAAGCTATATTAAGGTCATCATCAGCACCTATATTAATTACATTATGAATGTGTAATTAATATAGCCCAGATGATGACCTTAAAATAGGTCTAAACTTGATAGTAACAATTAAATTTGTTTCTTTATCTAGACCTAACCAAGATCCAGATTATTCGTGAGTAAAAAATGGCCGATACATCAAGCACTTTTAAAATTTTCAAAGAGACAAGCAGTTTACAGACCAAATTACCAAAGTGCACACACACACACAGATACACAAACACACACAAACTTGGCCTTCTGTTTAATATAAATCATTGCAATAAGTATATTAGTTATAAACTAATGTTTCTTTTCTTATGTTCCAGGTCAAAAAAGGTGAAGGGGTTATTACTACTTGGTGAAGTTAAATGTTGTGACGTAAACATTAAGCTATAAATTATATAGAAACATTTTAGCCAGTCATTGGATTTAATTTTTCATTTTAGTAAATAGCCAAAGTGCCATTTAGAAAACATTGATTTATTTTTACTTTGGTAAAAGGTTATACAATTTTACCAAATAGTATCCATCTTAAAATTATCAACCAGACCACTCATAGTTTTTTTCTTTCATAGTGTTCAATAGAGTTTTAAAAAGTTATTTTGGTTGTATTGGAGTTTATAGTCTAAATTAGTTATGGAATAGAATTTAGGAGTGTAATTTGTGGAGTGTAGAAAAAAATTTAAATCTCATCTAAGATTTATAGATAGTTAAGGATGTAGAATAAAACAATTAGGATCAAAACTGTGAGTTCTTAGATATTAGACATTTCATGCAAAATGAGATAAATGATTTACTACATACATTTACAAACATTCAAACAAAAGTAAAGTCTATTTCAAAAAAACACATCCTTCAAATTAAAAAAGAAAAAAGTTAACATATAAAATTATAACTTTTCTATTTGCTCTGTAGAATTAGGTTGCATGCTGCATGAATTTAAGTTTAATAGTAAAACATTGCATGCTGCTATTACATAAGTCTTTTAAGTATTAAAAAGATACATTTTACAATTTTATCAGCATCCTATTTCTAATCTTAACCAATTTTTTATATAATAAAATAATTATTTTCTTTACAGAATATTTTGAATAGAAATAAAGTATTTAACTTGCATAGTTTCAATATTAACTTTTAAAAAAGGAAACAGTTTATTTTGTTTTACTTGAAATGAACTTTGTGAAAATAAAATTGGCCATTTATATTTCTTGGGTTTCTTTTCAGAAACTAGACAACCATCAAACTTATTTTCTTTTTATTGATGGTTGTCTAGTTCCTGAAAAGAAACCAAAGAAATGTAAAAAGTCAACAACCGAAAAAGAAGAGTAAAAAATTGGCAATATTTTCTTTACAGCCTATGGACTTGCAAGATGTTGTGATCCCGTCTCGGAGGCCGTCGGTTGATTCTACGCATGAATCTCACCTCCATCCAACTTCAAGCTATAGGTCACAACATAGAAATCGTTCTCGCTCACCCAGCATACGGTAAGAAATCATTTACCAGGTAACCGGAGAAGCTCGTGCGGTTTGTAATTTTTTATTGTTTTAATATCGTTAATCAAAATTTCTATTTGCATAGGTGTAGATGTTTCTATCATGTAATACATTATCATGTCATTTTTATCAGCATCCTATTTCTAATTTTAACCAATTTTTTATGTAGTAAAAACAAAGGAGGATATTTTAGGAGGATAATGTGTCAGTTGTGCATGCTTATTATATGAATTTAAGTTCTTGTACTAGGGTGCATTCTGTGATGAAACAATAAGTGAGCACACTGCCTAAAAGTGGTTCATAAAGTTTACTTCTGGAAATGAAAAGATTGAAGATGAACTGGTACTGAGGGAAACCATCAAACATGTTAGAAGCTCACCAGAGTTTTCTACGCAAGCGATTAATCTATTCACGTTAGCTTACCTTGACTTGGGAAGATACGGAAGCTGAGCAAATGGGTTCCTCATAAATTGACCGAAGACAAGCTTCAGTGTCTAAACATTTGCCTTTCATTGCTTTCACGGCACAAAGTAGAGACTTTTTTACCAGATTGTCACATATGACAAAAAATCAATCCTGTACAGTAACACCAGGAAGTCTTGGCTGTTACCAAATGACCCCTCTTCCAATAACGGTAAAACTGAATTCACCAAGCAAAGGTCATGTTTTGTGTTTGGTTTAGTACGGGAGGCATTATGCCATGTGACCAGACCATTACCTCAGAAATCTTCTGAAACCAACTGCAACGAGCATCTCTTGCCCTGCCCAAAAAATCCTACTCTTGTAAACAGAGAAGGTGTAGTTTTTCACCAGGACATACCTCATACAGCCAGAACGACAAAGGAGATGATAATGAAGCTTGATCGGGAAGTCCTACCACACCCTTCATACTCTCCAGACCTGGCCCCATCTGACTTTCACCTTTTCTTAGTAATGGAAAGACATACGCTCAATATTGACTGTGGTTCGGTTGTGGTTCAATAATCACCAACAGCTTGAAAATGAGCTGAATTATAACTGGGCTAGTAACTCATTGGGATAAGATTTTAGATGACAGAGACTATTTCCCTGGAAAAAATATTTCTTAACTAATTTCATGACAATTATTAAACTTTTTAAACCTGCACGAACTTTTCTGTTTGCCTGGTATATATCGATAAAAATCAGCCTTATTCTAATTTAATTACAGAAGGGCCCGTTCGCCTGCTGATGTTGGGAGGAGCCCATCACCACGAAGGATGTACCATCATCATGACATTGGATTCAGCGACACAGTATCCAATGTCGTAGACATCGTAAAAGGTGATCATATGCGAAGATATCCCCACATACGAGGTAAACCCAGATCAATTTAATTAATAATTTTAAATAATAAATTTAACAAATCAACACAGAACACAATTCTGACATATCGCTCATTATTTAAATTTCTCCCAGTGATTTCCCTTTAATGATCATTAAAAATATATATTTTAATAGGTAAAATGTTGGTTTATTTTTGTGCATTTATTGATTAATATTAACAATATTTTTACCACTTCATAAAAGTGTTAGTATTCATTTCAATCGGATATTACTCAATTTTCTTTAATTAATAAATACTTAATTCTTAATGCTTTGTTTCCAGCAACAAAACAAAAACTAACAAAAAAGTATTTCAATCAAATTCAAACATTTTTTTTAAATAAAAATATTAATAATTGTCTTTCACGCATTATTAATATTTAGTAGATTATCACTCTATTTTTTAATTATAACTTACAAGCAATCTTATTTTATAATGTTTAAAGACTAAAAATTATACCATCTAATCTATGATAATTAAAAACTTTATTTAACAATTTTTAACAAATTATATTAAAAATACAATATAATATGGCAAGAAACATTTCAAAATTTCAAGTTTCAAAGTTCAAAACCACTAGAAGGTTTCTAAAAAACTGCGACTTTATCCTAAGTCTAGGAACTTAATAAACTATGAAAAGATACATTGGCAATCATGTACCTGCATTTTTAGTCAATTGTAGTTGTCGTTTATTTATAATTTATTGTAAGGACATTTTAAACATTCACTTTGTTTTTAGAGGAAAATGCACCTGTGGATGCTTATCTTTTATTAAACCACACTCAGTAAAAACAGTCTCCGAACACCCACTGGCTCGCCCGAAATCCAGCTTTCCAGAATTCTTATTATAAGTCATTGGATATAAAAACATTATTTTTGAATATCAACACATTATTTAAAGGTTTTTGAACACTCAAAAATAAACTATTTAATTTAATTATTTGTTTTCATAACTTTTAATATGCTAATTTAGAGGCAAAAGGTTTTATATTTCACTGAAGGTGTTCAGAGATTTTTTTACTGAATGTACATATACAGAATGCGTGTTATTCTGAAATAATATTGTATGTGCAAAATGCAATTATCTTATTACAGGAATGACTAACATAAATTGTACGAGTCAATAAAACTAATATTACATTATATAATTTTAACATGTTTGGTTTTATGGTTTATAAATTTTATTTTTTACTTAAATTTTTAAAAACAAAACATCAATTCCCATTTATTTATAAGAAAAATCGAAAAAACCCAGTTGATTTTCGAAACCAGTAAGGTAAAACACTTTCAGATGGGAGATATTGTCCGTGTGGGGACCACCACCTGCCTGTCTACATGGGAGCCGCTAACATGTATGATAGTAAGTAATCCCAATATAGAAAGTTTTTGCTTTTACTGGTTCGAAAATTGATTTTTTATTTATTTTTCTTTGTTTACTCATTATTAATCAATTTCCTGCATGCTTTTCTGTTGTTTTTATATTATAGAAATCATTTTTCAAACTTGTCTTATATTTAATTGTTTCTGTTATCTCTCTTCCTGGACATGTGATTGTGAACCTGTCATTGACACACGATACAATTTGTGTACACAAAAAAAAATATCGGCCACAATATTAGCCGAACAGCCAGCACTGTGCTATAATAAAAAATATAAAAAAATTCTGTCGAAACATCTTGCATTTAGATTTACCAGTATAGATGATAGATACAACAAAGTGCGTTAATATGTCAATTTCATGTAGTTTCTTCTTGGAAATTTATATACAATTTTTTGTCTACAGCCGTTATTGTTCTGCACGTTATATTTTGTTTTTTCTTCTATTTGTTTTATGTTGTAGATAGTTGTGTAGTCTTGTTTTTATGATTTTCGTTAAGTAATGAAGCCATTATAAAGAAAGGTGAGTTTCTCCAAATTTTTAGTTTATTATACTAACTATGAAGTTTAAATTGTATATTTCCTTATTTTTAATACTTGTTTTAATCCTTATTTAGTTGTTGTTTATTGCAATTAATACTAATACTTTTTTATTGAGTCATATTTTTGTAATATAGCAAGTGACTTTTTCAAAAAACCATTTTACATAAATAGTAAGATTATGTTCTTATTACAAACTTACTGTATATAAAATATATTTTCAGTTTAGAGGTTTATTTATATTAAATTCATTAGTTAGTTTTAAATTAAGAGGTCAATTAGATTATTTAGTGAACCATATTATAACAGCTATTTTTGGCATATTGAGCGCTCTGTTTCAACTGCAGGTTTGTTCTTTTTTTTATTTTTATTTTTCCCCCAAAAAGCATTTCCTCAGAAAACAGAAGAATTGGTCTGTTTAAATCTGAACGATTAATTATTATTTATAAAGTATCCTTAATGTTTCATGCTACCCTGGCAAACAGACCATAACAAACAACGTACAAACTCTCACTCTACTACAATACAACTATTATAAACATTATTTTAAGTTATAAGTTAAAGTTTTATCTATTTTTATTATTTTAACTACAAAAGCAATACTGACAACTTCTTGGTTATTATAAATTTTGTTAAAAGAAATAATATTTTGTTTTTAAAGATTTTAATAGTTTTTAAACAGAAGAAATTAAAAAATTGGTTCTTGTTAATATAGCTCTGCAAAATATAATAAAATCTCCCAATTGTATTGATATTTTAAATATTGAAATTAATCGGTTTTATTTGAAGCTAAGAATTTTCTTAAAGCACTTTGTTTTATCTACAAGAGAAAGAAATCTAAGAGTTTGGATGCTAAAATTGAAGCATGGATTGATAAAATAAGCAAGTGAAAGTTTGAAGTCATAATTTGTTTTTATTAATAGGGTCGTGGTCAGCATCTCCGAGCCCGGTCCGTTCGCCGAGCCCTGGAAGGTACAACCATGGTCACGGAGGTGGTAGACGTTACATATACGGTACGACGAGTCTAGAGCAGCGTTCACGCTCACCGTCACCCCGCCCAACTCACCACAGGCACACGCAGCACAGCTACCCGGTGCTTGTGACTAGAAGAGGCCAAGGGCGCAAGCTACCCGCAACCCCGACCAAGCCGAGCACCCTACAGCTCACCCCTGCCTCGATCAACTTCCCTAAGCTCAACGCGTCGCCTACTCGAAATTATCCAGGGCCGATGAGTTTTGAACAAGCCGCAGCGATTGGGCGAAGTGGAAGGATCCTACCATCCCCCGTACCCAATGGATTCAAAGCGCCCCAACCTTGCGAAAGGCACAGTGATTCTGATGATGATGACTGGTGCTAGCCTTTGCTCTCTACCAGCCCACAAAAGGTAACAAAGACATAAAATTCAGTAGGCAATATTACTAAAAATGAAATCATTGTGCAATTATAAACCTAAACATGACCATTGAAATGCAGAGATTTTCAGTATGAACTGTAAATTGAAAATTTTATTAATGCATCTTTTTTTTTGTAATATTAATGTTTTGTTCTAGTAATGATGATGGGCTGGTAAATTGGAGGTGATGTATTCTGGTATTCAGCCTTCACTACTGCCACTAACATCTTTGACTTCCCCCTCAAGTGCTTTACACAGTGATTGGGTTATTTTGTTTTCATTTTCTGTGATAATACTAGTAAGACATTTTATCGATGTTATAATATGGACACGTATTTTTACTGGTGCTCAGTTATGCCGATTTACCGTGAACTAAACAAGCGGTCTCAAGTAGCTGACTGTATAGTTGTAATTAAGCATGCGAGTGGCGTGTGATGGTGCGACTAAATTTATTTTCTTTCTCCTCAGGGAAGTCGTAGATTTTTCTTAATAAGGGTTTTATGTATATTTTGCCTGCTAAATAGATTTTATCTTACTTTGAATTTGTTTCATTTTGTTTTTGTGTCTGATTTTAAAGGGGTACTTTATTGCTGTTTTTTCTAGATGAATAAAAACATAGAAAATATAATCTACGTTTTGCTATTATTAAATAATTGATATCCTGTTGCGCGGTTTGTGAGGTGTATCCACCCTGAAAATATTTATACTTCATTATTATGTAATTGTGACAAAGATGCCTTATTACTGTTTGTGAGTTTTTGTTTTTTAATATTTTATTTTATTTTTTATTATTTTTTATTGTAACTGTACCATATTAATAATATTTAAAAAATTATTGAAAAATTTAAAAAACCATCTAATACAGTATCAAATTTTATACTCATGACTGATTGTAAGAGACTGGAATCTTTACAATCTCTTGTAAAATGTAATTTGCATTATAGTTAAAATATTTACATATTGTGCATTGGTTATTGCAAAAAACACACAGCTTTGTCTGTCCAGTTAACAAATTTAAAACGATGTAAAAATACAAAAACTCGAATACTAAATGGTCAGGCTTAACAAAAGATACTTTATAAAAATAATTATTATTGAAAGATATACTTTTCTATTCTATAAACAATTTAAACTAAAAAAAATTAAAAATTTTGCCAATTCAACATTCGTATACCTAGTAGGTATTTTGTAAATAATGTATGTGATGATGAACATATTATTTTTTATCAAAAAAAAATGTTATTATTAATTCAGTACTATGCTGAGCATAAACTACCAATCAATTTTTGTATACTTGTAAATACTATTCACAACTGTGCACTGTGCAGTTTTCTTTTGTTCTTACAAATAAAAATAGAAATAATTTTAGAATACCTTTTTGCTGTTCAAGCCAAATAAAGAAAAATATTTAAAAATCTCAGCATTGTACCCTTTTATCATTGAGACAAGGAAGCAATTACAACATAAAGAATGGAGATAAATAAGCAACAAGTTTAATACAAAATTAATGTTATTCAGCAAGACTGGCACCATAATTCTGCATTTTCCCCCATAATTAGACATTTTTTTACTTCTTTTCAACAAATTTTATTGTATATTGGGCATTTGCTTGCCACTGCCATAATGGAAGGACCTAAATAATATATTATAGAGTGTGTTTATAATTGTATCGGTGATGTATAGTTTTTATAAGAATTAAAAGTTTTAAAATAATAAAAATGCAAAGTGCAGAAACAAAAGCTCTTAGCAAAAGTATTTAGTTGAGAAATGAGTTTTGAAATTAAATGAAAATATACGCTGGCCAATTTAGTGCCTAGTCGGCAAGTTTTAATTAACCAATAATTGTACATAGTATTTGAAAATATTTTAAACAAATATTAAAAAGAAATCACTTTGTAAATAAATATCACAGATTATGTGTTGAATTATGGAATCAGTCTTTCTACAATTGCTCTGCGCATGAAATACAAAAATATGTTATTTAAAACTGTTCAAAAATTTTTAAAAAAACAGCACACAGAAATTGTACTGTTTTATGTAGGACGACTAATTATAAATATATACAACTTTCCATAATATTATAATACAGTTGGCATAATTATTTAATTCACTGTACTTATCATAATTTCTGGCTTGTGATGAGCCAACTTTTGAATTGTAATACCTTTAAATGTAATATAATGAGCAACTTTCAATCACAAATTAAACATAGCTTTACACCCGATTAAGAGTATTAATGATATAATAATAATACTAATACTAATACTAATAATAATAATAATCAAAGAAATACAAATTCACCAAAGAAAAAAGAAATACTATGTTGTCATGATTGTTAAAGAGAAATAAAAGTTGATCAAAGTTATGTACTTTTCAAATTACAAAATATATAAGCAACAGAGCTTGAAATAGCAAAAAAAATTGAAAAGTTTAAAAACCAACAATTGTAATTTAAAGTAATGATTTGTTATTCCTTTGTATGGCTTATTATATTATATAACATATATAAGATCGAATATAAAAGTTATTTTTAACATTCCTCAAACTTGGTATTTCCAATTTAATAATTTTTCCTCATTTGAATGAAATAATCATCATTGCTGATTTATGAGATCTTCTCTAGATTCAAGCATACCAAGAGAGGTAAGTAAGATATAGTACGATCGCCCGAGTCATCCAATTTTGATTACCAATTAAAGTTTAGAAATTTCTATGCAAAACAAACTGCAAAATTATATAAATAAACTTCAAGTGTATTTTTTAAAGACTGATATTTAACGTATTTATGGTTCTATTGATAAATCACTTAGAAGTAAAGATGAAATAGCCCAACTGGTTAATTGTAGTAAAAAAAGTACATAAATGCTGTTTACTAATCAGAATCACAGAGCAACAAAATCAGTAATTATACTTTAATTACACATTAATAAGATAAAAGAACGGTTAAAAGGGATCAAAGCAGTTGGGAAGGTCCTGATCCCATAGCCGGCAATAAAAAAGTAGAGCACTTGTGGTAGTGGTTGATCTCATATGCAAACTAATTGAAAGCGTAGTCTAAATCCGAGGCTACGCAAATAACATCGTCATACTACTCATGGGAAAATTCAACTCAACAATGAAAGAGCTCACCCAAAAAGCACTAAACATGGTGAAACAATGGTGTTCACAACTTGGACTAAAAGCTCAAAAACTACTATAGTTGCTTTCACCAAGAAACGAAACATAGAAATATAAAGCCTTTACTTCTATAATGAAATGCTGTAGCTAAAAAAATGAGATTAAATACCTAGGAATATTTTTTGATAAAAAGTTAACCTGGAACCTGCATCATATCAGCAAAAGGTAAAATATCGCTAATGACCACAAGAAGAACCCTAGGCAAAGTTTGGGGACTAAAACTGAAAATGGCCCGTGCTAGACATGGTAGTGATAACACCCAAAATAACCTATGGATCTCATTAATCCATTAATCGGGCCAAACTCAACAAAAACTAGTTACCCAAACATTAGGCGGCATAAAATACAAACCTATCTATCACAGTAGAAATAATAACCCCACCAATAGCATCAGAAACACTGCTAAAATTATCTCCTCTGGTAATATATCATACAAGGAGAAGTTAGGAAAAGCTTATTTAGACTCCAAAAGGAATCAAATTGGATGGGAACTAAACAATTTGGGTACATAACCATATTGACACCCGTTCTTAGAAATAACCCTGATTATATGATCCTGGAAACATTCTTTACAATTATAAAGTCGACAACAGACTGTAAAGGAGAGAAAGAACTCAGGAAAGTATCAGATGCAATGATGTGGCTCTAAAACAAAATAAGGAACTGGACTGGGTGTTTTTTTGCACAAGCCCAAAATATGAGCAATCAAACTCATTAGGGAAGTACCCTAGAAAATCTTAAAAGTGGTTACACAGGCAAAAAATTCTCATAAAATCAGACAGCCAAGCAGCTATTAAAGCATTTTAAAAAAATCACATCAAAACTAGTCTATGAATGCAACCAAAATCTGGGGAAACAAAAACCTGATGGTATCTTGGAGTCTAGGACATAAAGAAAAAGTAGACACTTTGGCCAGAAAAGGATCTGTCAGACTATATAGAACCTTTTTTCGGAGGATCTATGGAAGAGGTCAACACGGAGAAAAACTTCCTTTTGGTTTTCACCGAGCTTTCGGCAGTTTTTATACTGTCATCTTCAGGGCCTGTTTAATTATCATATAAAAATAACAATTAAAAACATGAACCGTTAAAACGCCCTTAAAAATTAATAATAATAATAATAATAAAAACATGAAAAAACAAATTGCACAAAAATTGAAAATTTGATATATCTAAGATAGGAGTTTTTCTTCTGTGTTGACCTCTTCCATAGATCCTCCGAAAAAACTTCATGTTTCCAGCAGGTCGACATCCCAGCTCATCGTTATATAGAACCTATTATTGGTATAACAAAAACAAATACAGAATCCTCCATCATAGAATGGATTAAAAAAATATTTAAAAAAAAGGTAGACAGTAAACTTTTGCTATAACAACCCTCACTAAGGCTGGCAAACTCATTGTTGCAATTGGAGAAGGCCAGGCTCAGATAGACCTATTAACCAGTCAATGACATCTGAGAAAATATCTACATAACATAGGCATATTCAACGATAATCTCATTAGCAGATTATGCGATGAGGAGGAAGAAACATCTATGCTTATCATCTGAATGTGAGGTAACGGCACAATGGAACTCAAAACAGGGAATGGAATTGAAGCAATGAGTCAGACTTAAAACTTAAGAGAAGAAGGATTGAGTCGATTGCACTGAACTGAGGAATTAGGAAGGTACAAGCCAAAAGGTTGCAGTGCCTGGGGCGCACAAACCCCGCTTCCTAGTATCCATCATAATAATAATAATAGAAATAATGATAAGATATAAGATATTTAACGGAAGTTTCTTGGCAAATGTGAAGCATCTACTCTTACAAAATGCGTATACACAGTTGCCTTTTATTATGCTCAAACATGGACATTGAATGGAATTACATGGAGAAAAGATGGCCAAGAGCTTCCTGGGTATAAAAAGGTTAGACAGTCAGCAACGAGAAACTTCAGCAGTGGGAAAATTACCCTCACAACCAAAGTTAGCACATCTGATGAAAATGAACAGGGCAGGCCACATAATAATAACGAATAATACAGCCGAGGATAACACAGAGTGGGCCCCATGGTGCGATAAGAACGACTATCCATCGTAAGACGGTGAGAAAAAAATCTGGAGTTCGTTGGGAAGTGCCAGCATGAGATAAATGGTGTAAAAGAAAATTTAAAACATCCAACTAGTTTCATTCAATGAGTTCGAGTCAAACTTATTTAATTTTTAACAGAATTTTTTTTAAATTAAATTAATAGAAAGGAAAATTTATTGTGTTTATGAACAACTTAATTTCCTCTCACGGGAGAGGCTTTTGTACAGATAAGTATATTGATAAAGCTATTTATTCATTATTAACATATTTATTTATAAAATACATAGAGAATATACAATAATATAGTTCCTTACAAATCATACATAATCATCACTTCAGGCATGAAAAACCAGCAGTTTGAAAACATAAAATGATATAAAATTATAACAATATATATACAATTATACATTATTATATGAAATAAATAAAATCTATTTACAAATAAGTGAATAATTTCAACATTTTAAACTAGTCGGTGATTAGTGTATACACAGTATGCACAATTTAAATGTCAGAGAAGCTGTTTATAGTTGTCGTATCTGCAAATTCCAATTCAATCGGTATTATCGTTGATCGTGTCGGATGGGAGCGGATCGGATTGGCCTCCTGGGACTCCGCACTTTGGACATACTCCATGCATCTCGGCACATCCTGCGCACATGATCCTGTAGGAGAGAGTCACGTTCCTCTGAGAACATTTTGTGCATGTGCTCGGATTCTTGAGCAGTTTGTACTTTTTATATTTGATCTTCCATTCCAGGACTGATTTACACCTGGGGCAAACGTCGGATATTTCGATTGAGTTGAGGAACTTTGTAGTTGGCGTCTTGTCATGGAGGTCGTTCTTGAACTTCCTCGAGTTTTGGTGCTTTTGTGGCCTTTTGCGGCTCACGTTGCCCTTTTCTGTGCTCATTGTTTCAGTAACTGTCACAAAAGATCAGGTATCAACCATCATACATGATCAAACACGTGGGGAGAGGTACAAAACTTTAAGGTTGTAAACAAACACAGTTAAACGAACAAAATGACTTATGACGTCATGGAAGTATGACAAAATTACTTTTTTTAAATAAATTATATTTGTTCATTATTACCCCTATGCTGTTAAATCCTTTGACTCCCTCATTCACTCTGTCTTCTCTCTCTCTTTCTCTTTCTGTGTGCCTGTCTGACTCTTTCTCTCTCAATCTCCCTCCCTCTCTCTTATTTGTATTTCTCTTTCTGTGTGACTATCTCACTCTCTCTCTTTCTCAATCTCTCTCCTACATTCTTTCCTTCACTTCTTTCTCTTTCAGTGTGACTGTTTGACTCTTTCTCTCTCCCTCCTCTTTTTCTTTCTTTTTATATGTGACTGTCTGATTCTTTCTCTCTTGCTTTTTTCTGTGTGACTATATGACTCTTTCTTTCTTACTTTTTTTGTGTGCTTGCCTGATTCTCTCTCTCAATCTCAATCTCTCTCCTACATTCTTTTCTTCATTTCTTTCTCTTTCTGTGACTGTTTGACTCTTTCTCTCTCCCTCCTCTTTTTCTTTTTCTTTATATGTGACTGTCTGATTCTTTCTCTCTTGCTTTTTTCTGTGTGACTGTCTGACTCTCTTTCTTACTTTTTCTGTTTGCTTGCCTGACTCTCTCTCTCTCTCCCACTCAATCTCAATCTCTCTCCCTCCTCTTTTTCTTTCTCTTTATATGTGACTGACTGTCTGATTCTCTCTTGCTTTATCTGTGTGACTGCCTGACTCTCTCTCTCTCTCTTTCCCACTCAATCTCAATCTCTCTCCCTCCTCTTTTTCTTTCTCTTTATATGTGACTGACTGTCTGATTCTCTCTTGCTTTATCTGTGTGACTGCCTGACTCTCTCTCTCTCTCTTAATCTATCTCACACACTCTTTACTTCATCTCTTTTGATTTCTGTGGATCTGTCTGAGTCTTTCACTTTCAATCTCTCCTCTTTGTCTTTCTTTTTCTGTGTGAGTCTCTCTCTTTTTTTTCTGTGTTATGCCTGACTCTCTCTCTTTCTCTCTCTCTCTCTCAACCCCTTTCCCTCTCACCCTTTATCTTTTTATTTCTATGGGACTGTCTGATGCTTTCTTTCTTTTTTTCCTGTGTGGAGCCTGACTCTCAATCTCTCTCCTTCCTCTCTTTCTCTTTCTGTGCGACTATCTGACTCTTTCTCCATCAATCTCTCCCCCCTCTCTCTTTGTCTTTCTGTGTGACTGATTTTCTCTCTCTATGTAACCTAATTGATTCTCTCTTTATTCGCTTTATTCTCTCTCTGTCCGTATGACTCTCTCCCCCTCTCTCTTTTTCTGGGTGACTGTCTACGTATTTTTCTTTTAATCTCTCTCTCTTCCCTCTCTTTCTCTGTGAATATCTGTCTCTCTCTCTATTTTTTTTTCTCTGTGTCTGTCTAACTTTCTCCCTCTCCCTCTCTCCACTATCTGTCTAGCTATCTCATTATCTCTATTTCTTTTATTCTTTCTCCTTCTATCTCTCTCAACAAGCATAGTATTCATTTCCTATCCTTTTGAAAAATATTTTACATAATTGGAGGAAATTATCTTTTTTCCTCGATTGCCAATGGCAAATTTGTAATTGAAAATAAATAAAATAAAAATAAGAGGGCGCTGCATAATGAGAATCTCACAGAATCATGTTATTTTGTAGCAAAATGGGATTCTTAAAAGCTTGTGTTTTGGTAGAAAAGGTAATACTGGAAAGACACGAGGGAGAAACCGGTATCGGTATCAATCAACCTATGTCTGTACATGGAGCTAAGGATTGACACTTGGCACATTGAGCAATTTATGCCCCAAAAGCTCCGGTTCATGGCATTTCTCCAACAAGAGAACATATACTCCAACATAAGAATACACACTAAAATTATTAAATAAACACTGCTGTACTCAATGGAAATTTTAACAAGACCCCTGTCAGTCTATCAACAATCACTTTAGAGAACTGAGCCATAACAATGTAAAAACATTTATTTGTTTAGCATAAGGTACATATTTTTTAGGTGAAGTGTAATCAATAAATACTTAAGTTTTAATAATAATAAAAATCAAGTTGATGCTTCTCTAGCTCTTTTATTGTGTTCAAACTCTCTTAAACGGTTAAGTATCCTTTCTTCGTAATCCTGGAGAAAAAAAAATCAATGATCAATGCTTTCACAAAACAAAATTAATGAAATACTCACAATATCTTCAGTGGTTTCTGATGTGGACGATGGAATATCTGAATGATTAGAGTCCATATCCGGGAAGCTTGATACGGGCTGTTGAGAAGATTCCCCCATCGAAGGGAATAAGTTGGGCCGGCAAGTAGGCATTTCCCTGAAAGTAGGCTGGTCCGGCTCACCGATGATATCAACTTTAAGAGGATTTTCAGCAAAGCCACATTCCAACTTTATAACAAATGACTGTAAAAAAAGAACAGACAAATGTTTTTATAAAAATATATTATATGATAAAAGAAATGATGGCAGCATCAATGGATGGGGTCGTCTGAGGGGTTCTTGTATGTCATTGAAGTTGGCAAGAACCTGAGCCGGAAACGAGTAATAATCCTTACCCGATTAAGAATAGGTGATACACTGTTAATGAGCACCTGTTCCTGGGAGAAACAGGTGTCCCTTATGCAAAAAAAAGGTTGCTTGATGTGTCCCGCATAATAGAAGCTTGTTATGTCTTGGCTCCTTAGAGAGAGCATGTAGGCATGCTGCCAGATTTAAAAATGGTTCTCGGACACAATAGTGAGTTTCTAGTTCCACCTTTTAGAGGAAGTGGGTGTTTATGTATTTCTTTTTTTATTTATTATTGAATAGGTTTGTTCAGTGTTTGGTCTGAGTGTGTGTATTTATTAGTGTGACTGTGAGGGGAAGCTAATGCTGAAATATAGTGTCACCATTGCCACTCCAGCAATGTTGGCACCATCAACGCTAATTTAGATTAACTTATTATTATTGTAACTTGTGATGACCATTGAATATAATTGTGATGTTCGTATCGGTGGTGATGGGATTATCGGTCAATTGACCACCGACACGAACATCACAATTATTATTATTGTTTATAGGTCGATGAAGGAATATCGAGCACTCCACTACATGTACATAGGTATAAATGTATTTATTTGTGCGATTGTTTTATAGATGTTAATTTTAGGTTAGAATTGAGTTTCAACCAATACCTTACATAAAGAATAAATAATGAAATTTTTTTCGTATATAAAAAAAATTATTACTTACTGCTTCTATTGGCTGAGATAATTCAATGATGGCACTGTTTTTCTTTTTTTTGTTCATAATGAGATAGTCAACATTTCCATACTAGAACAAAACAGCGATTAACTAAGAGTTTTAATGTTAAACAAATCCATAGGTACCGTAAAGTTAAAAAATTTACCTTGGCAAATATTTTCTTAAGGCTTTCCTCGTCGTACGACAATTTGTTTTCGTTGTTTTCCCATTTCAATTTTATCCGTATCGGTTTGACTACTTTGGCATTGACTGATTCCGAAGTGTTTGACTGCCTCAAAACATTCAAAAGCCTTTCTTCTTTTTCAGCGACCTCTTTGTTCAGCTTGTTCATTTCTTCCAAAAGATGCCTGGACCCTTCTTTCCTAAGTCTATCTATCTCGCTCTAAAAGTAAAAAAAAAATTAATATGTGAAGTATTTCCATTAATTAATGATTATTTAGAGATCTTGAGATGCAGTCTGATGTGATGAACATTTAGAAAAACATTTTCTTTATCGTGCCAAAGTTTCAAACTTTATTGAGATCATCTTCAGGGCCTGGGATTTACAAACATTTTTTAAATTATACAAATACATATAAGATACGAATATGAATTTACACAACGATGTACACAATATAGAAATTTTAAGTTTACATGATTGTATAAATTCATATTCATACTTTGTACACATTTGTATAATTTAAGCAATGTTTATAAATCCCAGGCCCTGAAGATGATCCCAATAAAGTTTGAAACGTGGCACGATAAAGAAAATGTTTTTCTAAATGTGTGCATCTCACAATCTCTAAATAATAATTTTTAAATAGAGAAGATGGTTTTTCATTAGGTTTAAAGATGAAAATAAATTTACCAGAGTGTCACGGTAGGAACTTTTGCTTGCCGTTTCGCTTTTGGCTTGGGCTTGGCGTTCCCTTTCTTCTAAATCACTTTTAAACTTTTTCCTACGCTCGTCAAGCAAATTATTCCTGATCACAGCGGCTTTTCTGGCTTTGTACAGTTTATCATAAACTGGCTTTAAAACAAAAATTATTTAAATAAATCAAATCCATAACACCAAGTTTAGGTTGTGGAAATGTATTAAAATACCCTTGATTTTTCTCCTAGAAGTATTTCAATTGCGACTGAGAGTTCGAGAAAAAGTGTGGCTGCATGAGGATTGTCAGGATTTTTGTCCGGATGGCATTTCAGCGCTTTTTTCCTGTATGCTTTCTTTATCTGAAATAACACAAAACAAGAATGTAATCATTTGAATAATAAAATGTTTATTATGCTAAAGTGGTGCTATATCACTTATTGGATCCGTCTTCCCTTGCGGGTTTGTTGAACTACTCAAACACATTTGGGCCAACCGCCGCTTATCATTGCCGTGAATAGTGAATACGGGCTACTCAAGCAAGTTTGTTGGCGATAATTTTATCTGTACCATATTCACCAGCCATTTGGCGCAAAGAGATAGTGGGAGAAAAACCAACAAAACTGTCACATCCTAACCAGATATTGGCAAAGAATTTTTGGGTATGTGCCGCATTCGGTGGGGATCTCGAAAGTAACAGATCCTCACTGTTGGTACTGACCCTTCTGAGTCTGTTCTTCTATCTGTGACCTCCGCCCAAACACTTGCGTATGATCTTCATTACTACCCCGGCCTCACTGGATACGAAGGATCGGACCATTGAAGCGTATAGCATTGAGGATGCTCAGACTACACTGACAGAGTCCCTCGAATGAGTGAGAAGTGGCAGATAGGAATGGATAGTGTTCGGTGGTGCCTGCATGGGCTTCCTTTACCGAAGGCAGTCACTCTACGGTGTGGTTAGCAATCCCACTTTAAACAAAATCGCCGTTCTTACGCTGGAGAAGCCTCAACACTCTGGGAGATAGAGTCACCTTCTATATCTAGGGAGTGCGTGGGAGACCAGACTGATGCATTTCAGCCACCTTGAGTAGCCCTTTACAAGTGGCATATGGTCTGATGCACAATGCAGACCCAACCACTCGGAATGGGCAAGCAGGCAGGGAGGTTTGTTTGTGCCCTCGGGGCTGGGACAACTCTTCAATGCTCACAGCTGCAACAAACGTTCAGTCATGAATGGAGGTGCGTCATCTCTCATCTTGAGAATCAAAACGTCCGGTAAGACCATGAGCCAGGTGTGGACGCTAAAGATCCTCATTGTTTTTTTAAGGATGACCAAGTATCTGGGAACGCATATCCCTTCTGGGTCCCTCACTAAATATTGTCCAAAGACCCAAAGAGTGACCCAGTGGTTCAGCATGGATCACATACCATCACACAGCATTTGGTTGATCAATTGTTTTCAAAACTTTTATCATAGTCAAAACTTTACAAGAGCAAAGCTAAAAATCAAAATCTTTTTTGTAGTTTCTAATAGAAAAACCTGAAAATCTCGGAGACTTTAAAATTGACATAATCACAAAATTAGGCACGGTTTGTAAACAAAATTTGAAAAAGTCTTTCATTAACTGAGATTTTGACGAATTCTATAATGCAGTTTTTGAGGAAGTACCTACCTCCTGGGCATCCACGTCTGGTCGAACTTCCAGCAGTTCATAGAGGTCTTTTTCCATTAATTTATCCTTGTCCATTTCTTTAAATAAAAATTTGTACCGGCCTCAGTAATAAAAAACAACTGAAATCGTTTATCAACAGCTTCACCGGATGAACCTGCCTGCTAGCCTGACACTGAACTTCAGTGACTGAAGGTTAAAGTCATGTGAAATACAGGTGACCTCATTGAAGTTTCCAAGAAAGCATTGTCCAAGCAAGAATAATATATTTATATAAATATTATATATCTCACAAAAATAGATAAATTTGTAAATAAAAAGTCATTTCAAGAGTTATATGATGTTCCTTAAAAAAATTCTTTTGATCAGAGGTCTATATGTTTTTCTCATTCAAAACAGTTCCTCCAGCCAATACATATCAGATAATTATAAAATTGTCTTCAGTATGGCACTCTTTTTTCTGCAGAATTCCATAATTATTAGGACAATAAAATAAACTCATTACATTGCCCATATAAATAAAAAAGACAAATGTAATAAATTTGATCTTAACTCCATCAATGATATAATCTTCCAATGTATGAGTTCTAACTTTTAATAATAATATATTTACAATTAATCAATTTACAAAAAACTGTTAAAATATAGAAATGTACAATATAAAAGCAAAAATAAGAAAACAAAGGACAAATTTATTTAAATATTACACAATATGTAAAGTAGGAAAATTGCTTAAAAGAATGTTTCAACTAAATATACCCAAAAAAGATCACATTATTTTAAATTTTTAAATTGACATTGTAAAATAATATAACATATTTTAAAATATTATATAAATAATATTAGAAAACAATTACAAAAAAATATGTTGATTAAGTAAGTAAAAATAAGGGTATTTTATTTATTTTAAAGGTACAAATTGTTGTTACTCTTGATCATCATTCTGTGTAGAGGAAAAGAGAGCATGTAGTTAGAGCTTTGGAATTCAATATAAAATAATTTATAGGTTTTAAGAGAGTACGAAGGGACATGTAGCTGTAGTTGAGAGAGGAGGTAAGGACTATCAATGAGATTGTTTAATAATTTAAATATAAAATCAATATCAAAGTAATCCCTTCTTAGTGCCAGTTCGAAAAGTTTAAATTCAGAGCGGATTCCAGGGTAGGCAGAATTCGGAGGAAGATTTTTGTAGGAAAGTTTTTTTAAAAATTTGTTTTGTACAGATTGAAGAAGTTTTTGATAATTTAGATAGAATGGGTTTCCAAACAGGTGTAGCATATTCAATTTTTAAATTCATAGGTGTTCCGGATGATGAAACCTAGCATCTTCATAGATCTATTTTTTATTGAAGAAATATGTTCTTTAAACTTGAGCTTTTGATCAAAAAGTACACCAAGATCCTTTACGACCTCAACTCGCGTTAAAAGAGCATCATGGAGAGTATAGAGATAAATAAAAGGTTGTTTCTTATGAGAGAATGTAATTGTGTAGCATTTGGAAACATTAAGAGCAAGTTTGTTATTAGAGCACCAGGTTAGCACATTATTGATAGAATTTTGTAATTGTAAGCAATCGGAAGGAGAAGTGATTATGGAATAGATTTTCAGATCATCAGCAAATAATAAAAATTGAGCAGAAGGAAGAGCAAGATGGATATCATTAATAAATAAGAGAAACAAAACTGGTCCAAGATGAGACCCTTGCCAGACTCTCAAGGAAGCCGCAAAGGGACATGATTTAAATGATTTTATTTTGACTATTTGTTTTCTGTCCGAGAGAAAGCTGGATAACCAATTCAAGATAGTTCCGGTGAAACCATAATCCATTAGTTTCCTTAACAGTATTGTGTGATTTACTTTATCAAAAGCTATTATATATAGCTATATTAGAAATAAATTAAGTTTTATAGACATAATAAAATAATAATAAAATAAATAATAACAGTAATAAAACATAAAAAAAGATACCAACCTTCCAGCTTTCCCTCGTTGTATGCAAAGTGGAGAACGTATCATTCTGACTGTGAAACATATTTTGGTCGACTGTCGCACTTTGCAACCCTTTAGGCAAAGCTTTTGAGTGATTTAAAGGAGTTACTGGGTCCCCAGTGTTTCTTTCGAAGAGCACTTTTCAGCTTTCTCAAATTTATTGGAATTTATAATGAGATTTAGGCCTTTTCCCAAATTGTTGTATCACTAAATGTTTGTCTGCTAATGTTTGAATGAGAGTTGTGCGTGCAAGATTTCTTTTTTTTTTTTCAGGAATTTTTGAGACTGCCGGAGCGGAAAAAAGTAATAGAAGAAAATACGAATGGCAGGGTAATAAACTGCAATGACCAAAATCGCAATTTAAAGAAGAAAGATAGCTCCCTCCAAAAAAAGAGGATAAAGAAAAAGAAGTGTTATTGTGTTTTTGTTTCTTATTATTGTTAAGTAGCATTAGTTTATCATATTTGAATGGAAGAATAACGATAAGCCTATACTCATGCTGAGACTGTTGCTAGTCTGACCCCATTATTATTATTATTATTGGCCATTCAAGCCTATGGGAAATGTTTAAATTATGGAACAAAAATTTGACTAACCTTAAGCTGGCCAGTTATAAAAAATAAATAAATAATTTTTTTTATTTATTGTAGTTAATTAAGTGGAGGTTACCGACAATGGAGTTATATCAGCTCCCATTGAACTGTGAGAGCAAATGATTTCAACTTTTTTTAAATTGGGTTTTCCTATTGTCCATATACAGGGTGGCCCCAATCGATTCAGCCACACATCTTATAGGGAATTGAATGCTGAGTAAAAAAGGTCCTATGAACCTGTGTCCGTAAACCCTTCAGTTCCGAGCTACAGGCAAAAAACCACGTTTTTTGACCTTATTCGTGAAATTGTTAGTAAACCATTAGCCTGACCGTAAAACAGCTCGAAACAACATCAGTAGAGGATTAATTTCTGCGTCGAATGAAATTAAAGCCAGCCTGATCGGCCGAAAATTTGATTTTTGGCAATTTTGCGAAGTTAGGAGGTGAAGGGGTACATAAAATTCACTATTTCTGACATTTTTATCGAAAATTCACAACTTGAACACCCTATCAAAAAATTCTCGTTACAAACTTTGTTTGTTAGTGATCGAATTCTCCGTCACATTAGACCAACCCCAATCCGATTCATGAAACATTCTAACTTTGGCTAATTTACTGCTTTTCACCCAAATCGAATGTTACTGTTTTCTGATGGGTAAGACGTTCAGATTTTTCGTACATTATTTCATTCAGTAGGGGGTACCCATCAGAAAACAGTTCAAGTTGTGAATTGTCGATAAAAATGTCAGAAATGGTGAATTTTGTGTACCTCTTCGCAAAATCGCCAAAAATCAAATTTTCAGCCGATCAGGCTGAAACTGAAGGGTTTGCGGACACTTTTTTACTCAGCGTTCAATTTCCTATAAGATCTGGAGGTGTGGCTGAATCGATTGGGGCCACCCTGTATATAATTCCGTGGCGGTCGTGAATAAGTAGGTAAGTCGACAACTCGAAAATGAGTTAACAGTAGTATCGGAATGTTCCCTTGTAGCTTTATGTCGTGTATAAGTCGGTAACTTCAATTCCCAATAGAAACCTGGATATAGAGATGTACATTTTTAGGTATCTTCAAGTATGTAATGTAATGCCAAACATAAAAACGGTCCTACTGAAAAATTGAAAATTTCGAATTACCTACTTATTCACGACCGCCACGGCATTAATCAAATTTTTTTTACTGGAATCCTCACTGCTTCAGTCTGTTAGTCACCCATATTTAGAGGTGGGTTTATACATTACAATGTAATAAACTAATACAAATAAATAAATATATTATATTTGTTTATAACAATCATATTATATAACATTAGTGAAAATAAATATATGCATTTAAAAAATGAACTCGGTAAGGAATGCATGATTTGAAGTTCATTTAGTTTTTTTGGCTTGCTCCGACGAGAAGAATTAAATCATTCAACTGTTCTACATTATTTTGGTTAAGGCCAAAACGTTCAATCTGAAATAAAGAGAATAAATTAGAATAATCATCCACATTGTTATTTACAATTACTCACTCCTTGGTGGTACGCTTGAACATCTAAAAGAAGCTGGAGCCTTATTTTGTTATCGTCACTCGTTCTACGATCGTTCGGTTGGATGACATTACTCGATCGATCCCTTGCCTTCTTCAACCTCCGGAGGCTCTCTTCAGTTTTCTGCATCGAATTCAATACGTCATCAACCGACGAGTAATATCTATTAACATAGAAGCAAAATTAAACATTTTTTTAACATTATTACTTCTTATTGTGGAATAATTCAATTACTGTTTTGTCACTGTAGAAAACATCGTTTGAAGCCATGATCTAGTGTTTCGGTTTGATTTGTGTTTTTCATAAAATTGTGTTGGGTTTTCTAAAAGTGTGGTCACATAGGCGCACGGCTTTGTCGGCGAATCTCTGTTCGTTCTTCTGTACAACCTTGGTATGTCATTGACTTGACGAAGAACTGATATACTCTCACTGCTTAATATTCTAATAATTGAACTGCTAATGTTGCTCATTTCATTCTTAAGCTGTTCTTCACCTTCACCTAAACTCACTTTAAACAACAAAAATTAACGCTTGAAGTTAAGAAGAAAAATTTATCCCTTACATTTCATACGATTTGTCGTGTCTTCTGACAACTTTGTTAGTTGATTTAACACTATTGTTTGAAATTCTGGGAGTTTCTTGATTAAAAATTCGACATCGGTATAGAAATATACTAGGAAGTCTATATCGGTTTTTGATGCCTCAGAATTCTACAGAATATGTAAAAATTAATTTATTATGTAAACAAATCAATCCTGATAGACAAGACATACTGGTTTAGTAACTTCATTTATCCAAGTAACATAGCGAGAAATGATTTGTAACGACAGTTTCCAAAATTTGTGTGCCAACGGTTGCAAGAAGACACCAGGTGCCCAACATCTGTGTAAACAGCGCCAAACATGCTCGGTGGCAACTAACTTCCATTCGTTTGATATTGACTTCCAGTCACTCTGAGCGAAACTAGATTCTATATCTTTTGCAATCTCTTGAAACCTAATATTTAAAAGGAAACTTTTAATTATGATATTATCATATAAGCGCTTAAGTTCCCCACCAGCATTGGAAAGAGAAGAAGGGAGCCATGGAAAAGAAAGCAGCTGGGTCAGGACCGAAGTTGGTCAAATATAAAACAAGGTGTAGAGATTAGTGACCGTTAATCGATAGTTATTCAGATATCGTGAGATGCGGTCGGGTGTGATGTAGGTTTCAGAAAAACATTTTCTTTATCGTGCCAACGTTTCGATCTTTTATTGAGATCATCTTCAGGGCTCAAAGTGTTTGTCTTCTGTGTAATTGTGCCATCCTTGTGTGTCTCAACACGACACACAAGGATGGCACAATTACACAGAAGACAAACACTTTGAGCCCTGAAGATGATCTCAATAAAAGATCGAAACGTTGGCACGATAAAGAAAATGTTTTTCTGAAACCTACATCACACCCGACCTCATCTCACGATATCTGAATAACTATAAAACAAGGGTTGGTTTTGTGCAGTAATATTTTAACAGAATAAAGGAAAAAATGTACGAGGACGAGGGAAACGAGATAATGACTGGGGACAGGCATGCCGGAGGAGACAAACTGGGAAAAGGCCATCTTGGATTGAGTGATCACCCTAACTTAAATTTTAAAGTGGTTTTGGTGTGTGAAAAATATACCTGAGTTGAAAATAAATGGGGAGACTCCATTTATCCATAAAAGTACTGAAACTAGTATGAGAGTTTAGTTCAAAAAGTGTTTCTTCATCGCATTTTTCATAAAGTGTAGAAAGGAAAGCCAAAGTTTCGCTGTATCTCTACAATATAAACATTTTAATATTACAACATAGGAAAAAAAATAGTGAGAAATAGTGAGCATACCTGATAAAATACATCTGGGTCCCCCGCAGCGTAAATTGAAGGGAGATTTAATTCTAACCGTTTTACAACTTCTGGCCAAAAACTCCTCAAGAAAAACTTGCATCTATTTTCTTTTAAATTCCTACCAATTAAATTAAGTGTTTTAAAATGAATAATGACCAAATTATAATTATAACTTCAAATTAAACTCACTTATTAAATTCTGAGGAAACATCCAATAAAATTTTCATATTATTTTCAAGAAATTCGATAATTTTATCGTACAAGGCAGCCAAACCTCTGGGCAACGACCGTAGATTGTTTTCGTTTATTAATTTTTCCATTACTGGTGATACTATTTTATTTTGGTACAATCTAAAATTCACAAACTATTATATTAAAAGTAGCTGTGTGAACTCTATCAACTCATTCCAAATCTTATTTATTTAAACCAATTCACCTTTAATCTAAGGTATTGGTTGAGATGAAAAAGCAAATGTCACCTACGACCTTTAGCTCAAGACACGACTGCTCTAACACCTGAGCTATTGTGACTCAAGTGAATAGAGCAGCAATATATTGAGCCGAAGGTCATGGGTTCAAATAATGCTTGTGACATTAGCTTTTTCATCTCAACCAAGACCTTAGATTAAAAGTATAACTAAATAAAATAATTAATACGGGCAAGTATGACTGCTAAATACATATGAATTTTATTTATTATTGAACAATGTCAATTCTACAAAAACCACAGTAATAAAATTACCTTTCTGCATTTTCAAGTTTGTCAAGAGTATGGTAAAAGTCGAGCGACTGACCAAGCATTCCTCTCCCAGCTTCACCTGAAGAGAGAGCCTCAAGGAATATTTTGTCCACACATCCAATCAAAAGATTTCCGACATACTCAAAATCCTTTAAACAAAACAAATATTTAAAAATTGTGACGCTACAAAATCAAATTATACATACTTCTAAATCATTTTGACTAAGGTCTTTACGGCATTTCTGGACGTGAAATTCCAACTGGCAAAATTCGGTCGTGGCCCGTTCCAATAATAGTAAATTGACAGAAGAATCTCCCTCAGTAGAAGAAGATAGAATGGTTTTGAGTTTTTTTAACGACACATGAACACGGCTAAGGCTTCTCAAACTACGTTTCTTTTCCCGTAGTTCATGTCGTAAAACCAAATGATTTGATATCTCACTCATGGCACTGTCAAGACTAAATCGGACTTGCTGAAATGATACAAACATAAACGTTTAAAAATTAAAAAAAAAAGTTCTGAATCTCTTACCAGAAGTTCTTCCCTGAGTTGTCCTAAAGGTGTTTGTATTTTTTTTATAGCCTTGTCCAAACCGATCAGATTGCTGGATAAATTGACAAAATCCGCATAGTCCTTGTTTATGAGGTCAATCAGAGCTGATCTTAAAACTTTAAGGTAAACACCCAAGTCATCCCTCATTGTTTCGAGATTGGCCTTGTTTCGATGATCTTTGAGAAACTTGTCAACGGAAAATGAATCCTGAAACAATCATCCAATCAATTCAAGCCTAAAATGAGAGCTTTCATATTTTCATCCAACTATGTACATTTATTACATTTATAATAATGTGACAGTAAGTTTAATGGGAGGAATATTAATAGTTAAAGAGGTGTTTCTTTTAAAATAATTGTATAACAACCAGTGGGTATTAACAATGATCTTTTTAAGAAACATTGAAAAAAAAAATTCAAGTAAATTTTTACATACAGGCAAAGCCTATTAAAAATGGGATAATGTGGCCACAAGGGTTTTACAACTTGATACGATGCTCACCACTGTAAGGAAAAGGTCCCAGGTTCAAGTTCAGAGCTACTGGATTCGAACTCATTGGACTTACAAATGGGCTTTTAGAAAAATGGAATAGTATAATATTAAAACCAATTTAAAAAATATTGATATTTATATTATATAAACATTCATAAATATACGTACAAAATATAAAGGAATAGAGGGAATATTAAACAGTTGGTTATTTGAGGATTACTGATTTGGGATTTAAAGAGCGATGGTTTGTTACTAAAATCAAGATCTGAGTGTGCATTTAAAGGGCTATTTTTAAGGTAGTTGCTTTTGTGGGAAGGAAGGAAGAACATTTTGTTGAACCTCGAGACATTTGGAAGATTGAAGGTAAGAAGAGAGAGAAGTGTAGTAGAATTGGTCATACTGTTGAAGAATTTGTACAAAAAGATTGAAGTAGGTTCGTCTGTTCTTGTGAATTAGTAAGTTAAAGAGGTCTAACAAAGGTGTAAAGTCATGTGCAAGTCAAGGGATTTTGAATTTATAGGCCACATATTTAGGAATTTATTTTGATTCAAATGATTTGATATGGTTATTGAATGAAGAAGAACAAAATAAAGAGGCATAATTTACATAGAACCGTGTAGGAACTAGTATAGAAGTTTGTGTAAGTTAGCATGCAAGTCAGTGCTTTGGATATATTGCCAAGAGATTTGTAAGACAATCAAATGATGATGGATATTAGGAAACGGGTTTTTTGTTCACCAAGTACTGTGACCTTCTGGCTTATTGTACTTTCCTAGTTCCTAGTTCAGAACAATCAACTCGATCTTTCGAAAAAGTACTAGAACATTTAGTTTTTAAATTTCATTTGTTCCCTTAGTGATTACAGATTTTCACAATTATTTGCATCAACTGTACACTTTTATATTTTAATTTTAATGAAACATTGTCAAGATGATTGATTAGTATTTACAAATTTGTTCAACAAGCCTAAATTAATTGAATTTATAAATTTAAAATTATTTTCTTTGAATTTTGTAACCAACTTGTGTTCAATTATTAGCCATTTTTCTCCACCTAATAGGACTTCCTCCATGAATGCCGATCATCTTTGAGGTTCAAAGTACAGTCATAAATAATATGCTTCCAATTTTGTCATTCGCATTGCACGGGCACTCAGGGCCATCGATGATCTTAAATCGATGAAGATATGAAAAGTTTTTACCATGTCCTGTATTGGTTTTGATCGATCGTGATATTTCCATTCTTATTCTTTGTTTTATGCCAAGAAAAAATAGTTTGGTTACTGCAGCCTGCATTGTTGTTCATTCATTTTCCCACTTTGCCAAGGACCATTTGGTAGATGATGGGTTTTGGTCTGCGAGTCAATGAACTCGCGAGTGAAGACAGGCCCAGTAGTGGCTGTGTACCGGTTAAGGTCCATCTGTGTGGCCATATTTTCGAGGTAACTTTTTGGTGCTTTTGTAAAGTTGTCATCTTCTGCAGCTTCCTTTGCCATAGTGTCTGCTTGTTCATTCCCCAATATGCGCTTTTATCCACTGTAATGTTATTGTAAGTTATTCCTGAGAACTTTCAATTACCTATAGATTTATGTATTCAGATTTAAGTGATTCGATTTATCTTTGATCATATTCAGTGCAACCATACTATCTGTATGTATTTTTGCAGTTCTATTTGTCACATTTTCTTCTGTATTTATTTTTCAAAACCCACCCACATTGTGAGAAGTTCCGTTTGATTATTGCTGCACCAATTAGCTAATTTCAATTTTGTTGTCAATCCTTTCCCCTTTGTTATGTCTCTGTTGAGCTGTTGCTTCACATTCAAAGATGATATGAATGGCAGTTTCTTCCTCCTCATTGCATAATCTATAAATGGGGTCATCATTGAATATACACATGTTGTATAGATGTTTTCTCACCGTGCCCTGTCACTCCTCTGACTTTAGCCCCTAGACCCTGCAGCAGGGAGTTTGCCAGTCTGGGTTAGGGTTGTTTTGGGTGCCCATCTCCTCTAGAATTTATCCACTTCTACTTTTAACTTTTTTGGATCTACTCTTTGATGGAGGATTCTGTTTGCTTTTGGTATCCAAAGAATAGGACAGGGCTTCTATTTGTCTTGCACGTCCTCCTCAGGCTAGGGATAAGGTAAAAGAGGCGGCCACAAGGCCTACTGCACCTAGACCTGAATAGATCTATTGTGCTCCTTCCTCTGGCTAGTGTATCTGCTTTTTCGTTTCCCAAAATTCCGTTATATCCTGGTACCCGAGATCTCATCCGGCTGTAGTCAAACGAGTTATGTAGAGTTTAATTTGTTGTCATGTATGATATCTAAGTCTTTTATTTCAGTCTGTCTGCTGAGGAGAGTGATATTTAAAGTATAGTCAAACTAGACGGTTTATTTTTACGAGAGTAAGTGATAATATTGCATTCACTCTCAACAACTATGGAAATAAAACTTTCATTACTATTAACAATAAAATGACTTTGTTTCCAAGAATCGTCAAAACAGGAAGCCCAGCTTAAACAGGATTCTCGGGTGTCATTTCTACCCGCTATCTATATGGAGGCAAGAAATTGCATTCTCCAACTAGGTGGGACACATGAACAACTTTTCTCTACATTCCAGACATATATGCCCGATTTAGCCCAAAAGTAAGTGTCTGTGTGTCAACCTCGCTGGCTTATTAATCAAGTGAGGATGACCCCCCTTCTACAAGTCAGATCCTCTACGGCCACCTATGCTCTGTACTATGTTGATGACCTATTTAATAGGTCGTAATTTTCCATTTTGCTTGCTTGACAATAAATTAATTATAAAAAAGAAATAAATACTATTTGGAGATCGTGAGATGCGGTCTTGTGTGATGTAGGTTTAGAAAAACATTTTCTTTATTGTGCTGTTTCTTTCTTTCTTTAGATCATCTTCAGGGCCTGGGATTTATAAACATTGTTTACATTATATAAATACATGTAAGATGTGAAAATGAATTTATACAATGATGTACAAAAAGTAGAAATTTTAGGTTTAATCAAAGTAGTTGTACTAACTCAAAGTGTGTGTTTTCTGTGTAGATGTGTCACGGTTGTGTATCGTGTTGGTCATGTTAATAATATATAAATGTTTTTTTGTTTGATTTTAAAGGAATGGGGAAGGAAGTTGAGATAGAAATTCATTTTTTTATGAGTAGTCGGCCGCTTTGAGATGAAAGGGACCAACAATGGGAAAAAATGGTAATGGTTTTTCATCCGGGCTTAGTTAACTTGTTAAATTATTAGGGAAAGGAAGGACAAATTGTTACTGATTTAGACTATAGAAATTGTTTGATGTGTGATGATTGCTTTATATGTCGTATTATATGTTTTGTGCGTTATTGATACCGAATTTGATTTGGGCTGAGTTTGCATATGTTTGTTCAGTAATCGATGCTGTGTTTATCTCTGTTGATATAAACCGTTTCTAAAAAGTTGGTGTTGGTGTTTTTTCTGAACCTACATCACACAAGGCCACAAACACCACACAAGACTACATCTCACGATCTCCAAATCATCATTAATCAACGGTTAATAAATACTACAAAAAATAGAAATAAACTTGACTCTAACAACAAGAAGATTAAAATTATAATAAATTTCTGTAATTTTAAATATTTTAAAGTTTTAACACTGATTTTTTAGGTGTCCTAACTGGTTTTTGAACCACAATTTTGATTGCAACAATGATTTTACATGTCTGTTCAGAACATTGATTCTCTACAGGCAAGAAGAATTAGATTTGACTATATTTTTCTGTACAAATTAATAAATAACGTGATCTCAAGTCCTGAACTAGTTTCTTATATAAGGTTCAATGTATGTAAATACAAAATTTTAATTTATCGTCATTCACTGTCCCTCACTTCTTCAATTCAGTTCCACTCTCCCATTGTCAAACATTAAAATAGTACTAAATATCTATTATAGTGCTAAGGGTGAAAATATCTGTTCTATTTCAAAGTTTTATTCACAGGGCAAATCATCTCTCTTTTTTTAAAATACAAATCTTGAAATTTACAAAGCCATTTTTGTCTGTCGACTATAACTGTTTATGTGATTTATTTTGTGAATTTATAACACTGGCACTTTGCGTTCATTTTTCAGAATGTATGAGTAGAATTATATCATATTTGATTAACTATGATCAAAAATGATTTTATTAAGAAAGTATGTACATTTGAGGTGAAAGGGGATGACAATGGGAAGAGGGTAATGGCTTTTCGTTTGAGCTTAGTTATCTTTCCAGGATTATTACGGAAAGGACGGATAAATTCTTACTGATTTAGACAACGTAGGTTTTATATGTTGCATTATATATTTTGTGTGTTATTAATAATGATTTTGATTTGATAGCATGGCTGCAGCTGAGTTTACATGTGTCTGTTCGGTAAATTATCTGTGTTGATGTAAACCATTTCTAAAAATTCACTAATTTCGTGGTCCGCTTGACCAATTAATATATTACAATTAATTAAGGTTTTTAGTTGAGATAAAAAAGTCAATGGCACGAGCGGGATCAAGCGGATCGAGGTCACGATAGCTCAAGTGGTAGAGCAGCGGCGTATCAAGCCGAAGATCGTGGGTTCGCATCCTGCTCGAGCCATTGACTTTTTATCTCAACTAAAAACCTTAATTAATTGTAATATTTCTAAAAAGTTGGATGATTTTTCTAAACCTGCATCACACAAGACCACAGACACCACACAAGACTACATCTCACAATATCCAAATCATCATTAATTAACAGTCACTAAATACTACAAAAAATAGAAATAAACTTGACTAAGAACAAGAAGATTAAAGTAATAATCAATTTCTGTACTTTTAAATAATTTCAGCACAATTATGTTCAAATATTAATTTGTAATGATTTTTTTGCTCATAAGATTGTAGATGTGGCGACATTGACAGGTTGTCACTGATAATGATTTGATGAGGTTTGCCTGCAGACAGGCCTTTCTAAGCTCTTTTCCACTGGTGAAAGTTGGCTAATTTTCGCAATCTTTTCTACCAACGGGTGTAAAATTTTAGAAAAAAATTTGCATTTACAAACGAAAACCGTTTAAACGGCGAAATTTCACCTTGACGAAGCTGGAGCTGTCGAAACACAAATTTGACGGGCCGAGTGGAACGACCGAGTCCTCTTTGTCGGCCTCCATCTCCTGCGAGGCTTTCCTTCGGGAAAAACTAGGAGGTGGATTGGAAAAAAAATTAAAATAAAATAAAACCAGTCGGTGGCGAAGAAAATATAAAATAAAAAAAGACCCGCCCGATGAGGGTTTAAAAGAAAACGAAACCTCTCCGATGATTAACCACGTCACCCTTTATCGTACTGCTGACTGACAGGCACGCCAGCGAAGGGGCAATTCATTTTCTATGACTGTACCTCATGAAACATAAAAAAAACTAGCTAATAGAAAATCAATTGCTTTTGTATACAATCAAAGTTTTAAAATTATAAGACCTAATTTATAATTAATCAATGCATTAAGTACATTCTACTCCAAGTTTAAAAGTTTAGATTGGGGTGGAGAAATTGTGACAGCCTGCCAGGCAAAGACAAATTTTAATTTAAATTCTATTTTCACTTTTATTTTAATCAAAAACCTATGCAAAAGCCTATGTTTCAGTCATATAATCACCAGAGTAATCAATTTATATATAAATATATATTTTTTTAAATTGCTACTTTTTTTTTTTAAATCCTTCTCCCGGACGTTAAAAGAAAATGTTGATTGATTTAAGAAATTTATAAATTAAATCCAAGACCTTCATGTTGTTACTTGCCAACAGTGTTTCAAGATTTATTGGACCCATTATACTGGGGTCCCTATACAGATCATCCAATAATTGTTTCCTCTGGTTATTGTACTCTGGGCATTGTAATATTAGATGACTGGGATTTGATGGACTGTCGCAAATTGGACAGTTAGGGGAAGTGGTTATTCCAATTCTATGCCTATAACTCCCCCACAGGCCATGGTTAGTTTTGATTCTGAAAATAGTAGAGTAGAATTCCTTTTGCCTGCCTCCTTCCAAAAACCACGGCTTTGCTTTAAGCTTTGGAAATAAAGCTCGATAGTAATCGCCAGCTGTTGCTGAGCTGTATTCTTTATCCCATAGATTGGAACACAATTTGTTCAAAAAAAAATTTTCCCTTTCAACGAAGGAACTTTCAACTGATGGGATACACCATATACAGTGGCCTCCTTCACCAACGCGTCCACTGTTTCGTTATGAAGAATACCCGCATGACCTTTAATCCAGCATATTATCACAGTTTTTCCATCTTTTTTTAGCTCAAAAATCTTTCGGTAAACATCAGCAATGATATAATTATTAACTTTGCAGCTTGGGGATACATTACTTATACTATCTACAGCGCTTCGACAGTCCGTTAATATGCAGAATTTAGTTTCATTCCTTTTTTTTATGTATTCAAGCGCTTTAGCTATGGCGGTTAATTCCGCAGTGTAGACAATAATTGAGTTTGGCAGAGCATACTGTTCTTTATGTTCACTTTTGTAATCGAAAATAGCACAACCTGCCCTGCCATCCAAGAGTGATCCATCCGTAAAAATTTGCCGGTGGTCTGGATAGTTTTCATTTTATAATATTGGTAGAAATCTGTTTGCATGGTTCTCCTCTTATGTAAATAACAAGTATCAAATTATTACAATTAAGCAATGTCAGTTTTTCAAATATGCTTCTTCTATTATTCCACAAGGCTATGATCTTGTTCCACTTTTGTTTCTTCTATTTATTAACAACATTTCAGCTGTTTTTCTGGCACTCAATTTCTAAGGTTCGCTGATGTTCTTAAACTATTTAAGGCCGATAAATCAAGTCATACATCCAGACAGCTTACTTCTCTTCACACACAGTGCTCTTTGAATAATACTTTTTATCTCTAAATCTTTTTTCTAGAATTACAAGCTCTTTTGCCTTAAACTTCACCTATTCTATTAATAATGAAACTTTTCCTAAAATTGATGCAATTAAAGATTTAGGTATTCACTTTAACTATCAATTGTCCTTCAGTCACTGCATTTGCTCTAAAGCTCTATAAATTGTGTTTTTAATTTACTAGTGAATTTTTTTTTAATATAGAAATATTGAAACCACACTTTTACATATTTTGTTCGACCAATTATTGAATTTTCTTCTATTGTTTAGTCTCCTCACTACTCCTCTCAAATCAAGAATATCAAAACGTTTTAACACTGATTTTTAACTGGTTTTTGAACCACAATTTTGATTGCAACTATGCTCTCATACATCTGTTCTGAACATTGATACTTTAGAGGCAAGAATAATTAGATTTGACTATATTTTTCTGTATAAATTATTAAGTAATGTCTCTAAATACAAAATTTTAATCTATTGATATTCAATGTCCCTCACTGCTCCAATTCAGTTTCACTCTCCCATTGTCAAACATTAAAATAGTACTAAATATCTATTATAGTGCTAAGGGTGAAAATATCTGCTCTATTTCAAAGTTTTATTCGCAGGGCAAATCATACGTCATCTAAAAAAATCTCTTTTTTAAAATACAAATCTTGAAATTTACAAAGCCATTTTTGTCTGTCGACTATAACTGTTTATGTGATTTATTTTGTGAATTTATAATACTGGCACAGTGCTTTCATTTTCTAGAAACTATGAGTAGAATTATACCACATTTCATTAATCATGATCAAAAATGATTTTACTCATTTGTATATTTTTGTTTGATGAAAATTAAATATATTGGGATATTTTTTCAAAATTGGTCTGTTTTGTTATAATAATGTTGGTATATTATTGATGTAATATTACTTTCTTAGGAAGTTTATTGTTTTCTAAGGTGAAAATTATATCTGATAGAAATTAATTATTTTTTGTTCGTTTTTTGTGAGCAAGCTGTTGGTAGAAAGGAATGGGAAATTTTGCGTTTTTATACAGACACTTCTGTCTGATTATTTATTACTTATACTTGACAATAAAATATCATTTTTATTTAGCTTTAAATTTGTTTTGTAACATCCGAATTTTCGGATTATTATTATTATTTTTCCGTCTGAATATAAACGGGTTTCACTTCGAATTGATAAAGTGCCCACTACAGAGGCATGCGCTCGGCCTTGTGATAATTTTGCCATCTTTCGTCCCGTTTTGTAAACATTTTGTCAATAAGGGATCAAAATTTGATAGAGGAAATTTTCCGATTTTTCACTAGTTCGTGGAAAGCGGATTTTGTTAAAGGAGAGGAGAAGAATCGACGTAGAAATACTTTGAAGAAAGAGGAAAACGACTTGAGACTCGATGGCTGACAACGAGCAAAAGGCTCAGCAGTTGATAGCTGAGGCGGAGAAAAAACTGACAGGCAACAAAGGCTTCTTCGGTTCCTTATTCGGGTAAATAAATGGATCTACTGTTTTTTAATTTTCTTTTAAGAATAGAGATCCTCTATATTATTTTCTTTTACCATCTTTTTTTTTTTAATTTCCATTATAGGGTAATAATGATAAATATACTTATTTTTTAATTAAATCTCAAAGATAAAAACGTATTTACAAATCTGTATGAACGTTGTGATTTCATTTCTTTCAGTTTTCAACAATTATATTGGAGAGTTGACTTGCTTTCTTTCATGACTCATTGCAATTGCTGAGTCATCGATAAGTTAGCACACAATTGTAATGGGTATTGGTTATTTATTTATTTATAGCAATGGTGTGCAACTAGTTTTTCCTGAGTCTTATGGTTTACAAACTAGTGGATCAACCACCTCTTGAGTGTCAAAATATTACTTTTAAAAATTGAATTTTTATTTATGAATTTAAAATCAATCTTCTCAGAGTCAGGGCTGGGGGCTTGAAGGCTACCCAGAGGTTGTGACACGTTATATCTTTCGGGCTTATATGCTCCCAGACCCAGCGAAGAGCTTTCGGATCCGAGCTTATATGTTCCAGGCCCAGTGAAGACCTATATGAGTCGAGCTTATATGTTCCAGGCCCAGCGAAGAGCTTTCGGATCCGAGCTTATATGTTCCCAGGCCCAGTGAAGAGCTATATGAGTCGAGCTTATATGCTCCCCAGGCCCCGTGAAGAACTTTCTGATCCGAGCTTTATGTTCCCAGGCCGAGTGAAGAGCTATCTGATTCAGGCTTATAAGATCCCCGGGCCAGGTGAAGAGCTATCTGATTTGGGCTTATATGCTCACCCACCCATTGAAGAGCTTTCGGATCCGAGCTTATATGTTCCCAGGCCTAGTGAAGAGCTATCTGATTTGAGATTATATGCTCCCCCACCCATTGAAGAGCTTTCTGATCCGAGCTTATATGTTCCCAGGCCCAGTGAAGAGCTATCTGATTTGGGCTTATATGCTCCTCCACCCTAGAAGAGCTTTTGGATCCGAGCTTATATGTTCCCAGGCCTAGTGAAGAGCTGTATGATTGATTTGAGATTATATGCTCCCCCACCATTGAAGAGCTTTCGGATCCGAGTTTATATGTCCCCAGGCCTAGTGAAGACCTATATGATTTGAGATTATATGCTCCCCCACCATTGAAGAGCTTTCGGATCCGAGTTTATATGTCCCCAGGCCTAGTGAAGAGCTATATGATTTGAGATTATATGCTCCCCCACCCATTGAAGAGCTTTCGGATCCGAGCTTATGTTCCCAGGCCCAGTGAAGAGCTATAGGATTTGAGCTTATATGCTATCTCATTCGGGCTTAGATGCTCCCCAATCCTTGTGTTGGCTATCCTTCAGTGATTCAGGCTTGCTTATGCCCCCAGGCCTTTTTGTCCCATTCTAATATTTATTTTTTTATTTTTTTGCGTTTTATGAGCTATAGCCTGACCCCCATCTATTGGGCTGAGGTTGTACCTAATGTGTAGCAGACACCACCCACACCCTTACTTCCCATCCTCATCATCAACGGATCACTCTTTACTCTCCCTTCTGTTCACATTCTGGCTTCTCTCTCAAACTTTTGCGAAATTGCGACAGAATAATTTTTCTGGAAAATAATTCGACTACAATATCTCAGCCTACTTGGTTTTGCCCTACTTTAAACTACCTCTCACTATTGCCCTTCGCAACCTGCCAAATGCTGCCCTCAGTTGTAGATTTACATCTTTTTCATTCAGAGTAATTTTTGAAATATATTTTTGTTTTTGTTGTACTCATTTATATATATTTATTTTATGTACATATATATTTTAAAACTCTGTATTCATGTGTATGTGCAGAGTTGATTTAAATAAAACAGTACTCAAAATTTATTTTGATTTTTGGTTATTATGTTTGAATATACATAATGAATAATTTTTATGATAAATAATTTTTTTGTTTAAAAACTCAAGCACATCTAGCAATTCTTTTTTTTAACACAAAACATACCTTAAAAATTGTAAACTATGTAATGTGGTAATAACTAATTAAAAACTTATGTTGTATTATTGAGCAGAGGTGGCTCGTCTAAGGTTGATGAAGCGATTGAATGCTACACAAGGGCTGCGAATATGTTCAAAATGGCCAAGAAGTGGGGAAATGCCGGGAGTGCCTTCTGTGAAGCGGCTTCACTCCATGCCAAAGTTGGCTCGAAGCATGATGCCGCTTCTAATTTGGTTGACGCTGCGAACTGTTTCAAGAAATCAGACCCTAACGGTAAGTTATGGCCTATTTTTTAAAAACATTTTTAATGGAACTTCTGGCACCTTATTATTATTTTTAATTGGCCCTTGCAGACATGGTAAAAATCTCTTCAACTCAATTAAATGTATGTACCTACTATGTTGTGGCCTAAGCTAAGTTTGGCAGGCCTCAGGGTACCGGATATTCCGCTTCATTCACACTAATAAATACATTCACACTGACTATAAACTTTCATACTATATGAACAATTAAAAATTTGGGTTGGTGTGTCTGTGGGGTACTGTTCTGCCACAGACTCACCCACACTCACCCATAAACATTCATTTTAATAAATACATTAATAAAATCTGGGAAGTCACTGGAGTATTTGACATTCTGCTATGGCCTCTCCCATTTCACTCTAAACACAATTACCCTGAACAACTAGCCCAATTTTGTGGGTCTCGACATTGCCACAAACCCATACACTCACACTTACTCAATTAATCATTGATGGGTCTGCAGGGTAGTCTATATGCTGCCACAAACTGACCCATTCACTCACTGATCATGCTAATAAATACATTCATTCAATATGATCAAATAACTAACCTAGTTTGGTGGGTCTGTGGGGTTCTTCATATTCTGCCACAAACTCATTTACTCAAACACTCACGCTAATAAATTCATACTTTCTAGATGGGAAAAACTATGGAAAGTCATCATTATCCGCTTCAGGTATTCGATCGAGTATTAACTGCATCACTGCTGTTTCTTAAAATGTATTAGCCAAGGGGCATCTCCATGGCCTTTTGAAGATGGCAGAGATTTTGTAGATGCAATGTGGCATTTTAAGAGGTGCTCAGGGTTAGTCTGGTGTGGCCAATTTGTAATTGGGCCATCATTATCATTTTTTTTATCAATGTTCTTGGCCCACACTTTGACGACAGTTTTATTTCCCTTTAATTTATCAGTCATTTCAGCCTCACAAGAGTATTTGGGTCATGCTGCTCGTTTGGCCGCTTGGTCTGCTTTTTCATTTCCTTCTATTCCAACATGGCCTGGAATCCAGGCAATATTGATTTTTTTCGTATTGCCTGTATTAGTGGCTGGGTTGCCATTACTGATGGCCAAGACCTCACTGATATAATTATAATTATTTTTGAACATTGTTATGCTTTATTCAAAAGATATCGCAGTATAATTTCATTGATCATTAATTTAATTCAATTGTTTAAGTACAGATAAGTATGTTTTCAAATAAGACTAATTTTAAACCTTTTATTTTTTTAGAGGGTGTAAATTGCCTTTTAAAAGCTATTGAAATATACACTGACATGGGGAGATTCTCAATGGCTGCGAAATACCACCAAACCATCGCCGAAATGTATGAAACGGAGGCGGTTGATTTAGAAAGAGCCGTACAACATTACGAGCAGGCAGCAGATTATTTCAAAGGAGAAGAAAGTAACTCATCTGCTAATAAATGTATGCTTAAAGTGGCTCAGTACGCCGCTCAACTCGAAAATTATGACAAAGCAATTAGCATCTATGAGGGCGTAAGTTATTAAAGCTAAAGCTGAATATAATTTAAAAAATTGACATTTATTATTATTACTATTTTGTAGGTTGCAGCGACATCTCTAGATAATTCATTGTTGAAATATAGCACGAAGGATTATTTCTTTAAAGCTGCCCTTTGCCATTTATGCGTTGACGTTCTTAATGCTCAACAAGCAATGGAGAGATACGCAGATCTCTATCCAGCATTTCAAGATTCAAGAGAGTATAAACTTTTGAAGGTAATTCGATCGCATTTGAAATAGCTTTAGATCGTTTATTTAAATTAAAATAATTTTTCAGGTTTTGATCGATCATATCGAAGAGCAGAATGCAGACGGTTTTACCGAAGCAGTTAAAGATTACGATTCAATATCAAGACTTGACCAGTGGTATACAACAATACTTTTACGTATCAAAAAACAAGTTAACGACAACCCTGACCTGCGTTAAATTTGTAAAAAAAAACATCTATATTGATTCCATTTCTTCCTTTATCTTGCAATGTCATTTCATTAAGAAATGACAAACTTATAATATACAGATGCAGCAGACAAAATTAAAAAAAAAAATTGTTTATTAAATGCATGCAAATTAGTTTGTAGGTTGAAATATGAGGCACATTTTTTGTTCAAGTCTAATCGTGACTGCTCTCCTCCCCTGAACAACAATAAATTGCTTCTATTTTTTAATTTGCTTTAAAAAAAAAGTTTTTTTATTACAGTTACTCAATCCTTTATCAATTTTGAAAGTTGTTAAATCTTAAATCAGAATAGATTTAAGATAGTTATTGTATGAGTGGTATTTATCAAATACTAACAATAATTGTTAATAGTGTGAAATATATGTAGTAGATGAATAAATTGATAAACACTTAAGTTAACAAAATTTAATGAGGATTCAAGAAAGGAGCACATTAACACGAGTTGGCATTTTGTGTAATTGTAATATTGCTAGTTGTTATTGCTGTTTTAAGGCAATTTAATAATTTAATATTATGTTTGTCAAATAATAACAAGTTCACATTCCGCTCTTTGGACATTTTATTTTGTTTTTAATAATCGATATTTTATTGTTAAATTTTGTTATTTGGGGATGGTTCCAAATTGATAATAATAATTAAGGCATTTGATAATTAATCTGCACCTTCATGGGGCAAAAAATCGCACGTATAGTTCACATTATAAAACTTTAGTTCAATTAAATATAAACAATTATATATAGAAAAGCTTGTTTGAGTGTCAAAAATGTAATATTGTATATTATCAGACATTTGAATGTGATCGGTAGTTTTTGTTTTGCATGTTGATCTAATATTATTTTAGAAGATTTTTTTTTTAATGTAAATATCTTTTTGTAATTTATGTAAAAATGTGTAATGTTATAATGCCTAATGCCTATTTATATAAAGAAAAGATGTATTGAAATTTTGTTTATAGGTTCCTAAACCTAAAAACTTTTATAGGTTTATATAAATATACAGTGGACCCCCGTATAACGCACTCCCATAAAACGGCAAAAAAATTGCGACGTACTCATACAGCACGATAAACATTCCCAAATAATGTGTAAGATAAATTTAACATTTTCAAAATTGCAATATTTGAAAGTGAATCACATCTCAATAGCAATATGCGGTAACCGTTACAATTTAGAGACATGCTTAGATTTGTATAAATTGGTCTGATAATGTATGTCCTGTATAATGCGATCTCCTATTAATCAGAATGTATGCCCCGTGTTGTATGGGAGTCTACTATATATTGTTTAAATGACACTAATATTTAAAAATATATATTATTTGTTTGAAATATACTTGTTTTTGTTTACCTGTTTACCACCTACATGATATAAATAATAGATAAAATATACATTTTTCTTAGCCAAGAATTTTGATCTCAATGAGAATTAATCAAGCAATCCACTTTACTCGACAGCAAACAGTACATTTAGAGGTCGGTGACGTGATCTTGTGATTTTTTTCTTTTTTTTAAACAATGATCAGCGTGGCACTCATCTCTTGAAAGTAATCTCCAGATAGCATGTAACTCAGCCTGACGTAGAACCTGTTTTCTAAAAAATTATGGCATTTTATCTTTGTGATCGATTTCTTGGCATTTCCGAACTGTCATGCTTTCTTGATGCCTTGGTTATTCTCACTTGTTTTGTTTGTTATGATGAGTTTGTCATCTTCAGTGATTGGCTTGTTTTTCTTTATAGTCTTTCAATAAAATGAGATGTAAAAGGTATGAAAAATAATGTCTACAAATGGTCTATGTGGGCTCTCAATTGGCCCAGAAGTTAACATTAACATGTTGACTGCGTCCTATGCTTGGCCATTTTGATTGCCCCCAGCGGAGCCGAGTAAAATAGCTCCTTGGCACATAAAAATAAAAACTTTCAACTATCTAAGTTTTAACTTCAATAATTTTACATATTCATACAAAATGGGTAAATCAGAGCTTTCCAAACTTTTTAGCTAACAGACCCCTTTTGATTTCTTTCCCGGTTCTGTTAACTTTGATATTCAAATCTTCTAAAATTGGTGGGTTTATGCCAATAATAATTATGAAAATTTTTAGGAGGGTAATTAAAATTTTTAGGGTTTTGAAAATTCCACTTGTTTTCTCTTTGATTCATTCAGTATGGAGGAGATTCATGGTAAAAGTAGTAACCCTTTCTATTACGATTTATAGGGGAACTGTCTCTCGACTTGTTGTTTATGGGTGACTTCCTTTCATATTTAAAATCAGGAATAATTTCCGGTTTAATGCCTAAACTCATATTTTTATTTCGTTGTTTTCGAGGTCTTTTACGTACTTCCAAAAATTCTGAGTCCAAATCTGAACTGTCCGTTGGAAAAAATTTACTTGACTTTTGGGCTCTATTTGTTAAAATTAATTCAATCTTAGATATTTCTCGATAAAGCTCTTCAATTGATTGTATTTTAACACGTGTTCCAATTAGACCTAAAAACTGCGGATTTACTCTTTCGAGAATGATTTGAATCGTTTCCTGTTCAGAAATATCCAAAAATTTTTGAATATTTAATTTGCTGGTCAACAAATTCTCTTAGGCTTTCTTTACTTGACTGAGGTCTCAAAAGATATTTGGTTTTTAATTTTAAAATTTGTTGAGGAGAAATATGAAATTTATACAGAGTCCCTTAAGATTTTAAAATTTATATTTTTTGTATTAGCTGCATTGTAAAGCAAATGACTAACTGAACCTGTCGTTTGTTCGGCAATAACGAATAAGATTTCTGATGTTAAAGAACGATAATGATTAAGAAGAGGTCTTAAAGCACACAAAAATGTAAATATTGTATCGGGATCATTTAGAACCAAATGTGGCAATTTATTTATTCGGTTTAAAAGTGATTTATGGAGTTTAGAAGCCCTTATAAATTTTTCTTCGAGTTGGCGTGATTGCCATCTTGTTTCTCGACAATCGCTTTCAGAATCGGATGACTGAAATTTAGGAACAAATTGTTTTTTACTTCCCTCTGAATCGGAACTGCGCGCTGCCGCAACCATCGCATGTGTTTTTGCATTCGGTTCCTTGATTTTTTGTATCTTACTTTCATTTTCCCTTTTATTATCCTCGTCAAGCCTATCTATTTCACTCGGTCCAGTCTTTTCTACAACCTCACCGTCCGATACCCCCGATGAAATGAATTTAAAATTTTTATTAATCAATTTTTTTAATATTGTGTCGGCCAAATTATCCACTAATTTGTTTCGGTGCTTTTTTGGAATACGGGGTAATTCTGGGCTATTACAAATTACTTCTCGAGCCTGGGATTTTAAAATATTAATAAATTCTTCCGATTGTAACGCTATTTCTTTAGCAGTCTTAATTTTATCAAGTCTGTTTGGCCTACTATCAGTGTCTTGTTCAGGTCCTTTTGTAGGAGTCTCAAAATCATTGCTTTCCATTATTTTTAAAAATTTATTTGACGTGAAATTAATCAATTAATAAAAGATGTCCCTTAAATTGTTGATTTAATTAAATTATGAGTAACTATTTATCTGGGTTAATGACAACAACTAATAATCAGTAATAAACATTTAACATAAACATTTTATAAATTAGCATTGACCAGTCCATTCCTAATTAGGTGATTGAGAGAGATATCACTAAGAAAACAAACATTAGATTGACATACTTAACTTTATTTACAAAATCCGGAACTAAAAAATCAAATTGGACAGAATAGAATCAATAGCTATATTGAACGAGCCAGAGATAGAATCAATAAAACGAGCCAATTTGAAAAGTAATAAAATATAAAAAGAGTAATTAATTAATGGGAAGAGTGAGTTGGTTTAGCTTGCACAACATGGATATATTGAGTTTAATTTTTGATAGCTGAGACGGATTTCGAATGGAGATGGGCATCTAAAGAGCTTTGGTATTTAGTTTTGGTGGCTGTAGATAGAAAATCCAGATTCGCATAGGTAAAATGTGGAAAATGGAAGGTCATGTTTTGCTTTTTCAATGAACGATTGTATTTTTTTTTTTTCCAGTTGGTGTCAAAAATGGGGGTAAGTATCGGACTCGAAAGTAGATTTCAAGGTGGAGTCTGAAGTAATGGCTATTAAACATTGGTATTAACCTGAAGATAGACTGGTTGGCTTTATCAAAACTGGAAATTGTTTAACCACCAATTGTAACTCAAGCTGTTGGAAAGTAGTGCTCAAAGGACATCTACCACCTTCGAAGGCGTTCACATATTTCATCAATCAACATACCTTTCGTAAGCTCCAGTTTGTTTTCTTAAAAAAATAAATAAAATAAAATAAAAATAACAGGAAAAGTCTCCATCTCTTCTTTTGAAACAGATTCAACCCAAAACTGAATTTTTCTTTTGAAGGCGTCTACTTTGTTGTTAGCATCAAAAGTTGTGATACTCTTTCCTTGCAAAGAAACTCATCTCATTCATTTTAATGAAACTAGCTTATAAATACAACAGTATACATTTCTCATCATTGAAAACATTGGCCAGTTTGACACTGTGGTCCATCAACAAGGTAAGACTTCAGAATGAAATTTCTTGTAATCGAAGGACATCCACCTCACTTTTGTATGGAGAAGCAGGAAATGTTGAAGGCATAGAATTGTGAGTCTTGACTTGAACAGCTGCAGTTTAATATAATTAATAATTTGAGCAAACTCATCCCAAACTTCTTAAATGAAGCTGGCATCTGTTTCACAGCCAAAGCATGTCTGGAGGAAACAATGAAAGCTGGTGCAAAATGAAAACTTTTGTTTTCAGTACTCATTGTTATTAGTTTTTTTAAATTTTATTTATTCATCCTCCATTTATTTTTGTAATTATTGCATTTTTTTGAAGTTTGGCAAGGGGTCCAAGGACCACATTTTGGGAAGAGTGGGATAATTGATTAATTAAAATAACCAAACACAAACAGATGAGTGCGTGGCATGCACCGTGTTTTATGATGGTGCGGCGTCCATTTCATTGTTGCCTCCATCGCAATGTAGCGTTTACATGATGGAATTTATGCGATTTGGCATGCGCTTGAGGTAATTCGAGAGGGCTCTGCGTATCATCTTCCCCCGACCCCTTCACTGTAGTAACTGCTGTCTTTGATAGGTCCTCTGTTGACCATCTCATTGTGTTCTTGTTGGAGAAATACAGCGAACTGGAGCATTGGCAAAATGGTCATGACTGTCTGGGAATAGGTCTTAGATCCAGCCCTCTGATATTAAAAATGCATTAAAAACATGATTAAAAGAAAATGGCAGTATCAGTGGGTCAGCAGAGAAGCTGAGAGTAGCACTGTCGATAGGTGCCCTCTGAGCATCTGACACAGAAGTAGGGTCATCCTCAACCTAAGAATAGGCGATGTGAGGTTGACGTACAGACACTTCTTTTGGGTCAATGTGTCAGGCATATAAATAAAGGTTGTTATATGTGCTCCAACTAGTTGAGAGGTGCTATTCCTTGGCTCCATATAGAGAGCGTGTAGGAATGCACCCAAGAATTTTGCTTGAGCATAGCAGCAAGTATCTGGGTCTCCTGTTTGGAGTTTTAAAAGAAACAGTGTTTCTACTGCATATAATGTTTAGTAGTTATCTTGTCTTGTGTAAAGTGTGTTTATTTGTATGTTGAGACTGAAAGTATTTATTAGCATGAATGTGTAGTGTGAGAGAGCCGATGGCGGAATATTTAGTACCCCACTGACCCTCAATTAAATTAGTTATATATGTGTAAAGGCTGATGGAGGAATATCAAGTACTAACTAGTGAATGGTATGTAAACAAGAAAGAATGTATTTTAGAGTGAGAGAGTGAATGGGTTTGGATTTAGGAAATTATTGCGTTGGGGGCTGACATGATCTTGTTGGTAGCCCCTGGAGCCCAACCTTGGCGATTAGAAGGATAAGAGCGCAGTCTGACCCCCAACTGCCAACACCCGAGATGGGTGATTCTTGTTGCCTGCCGGTAATTTATTACAAATTACAAAAGCAGGAATTGCTGGCGAGCTCTGACAAGTGATAGGCTCAACTCTGTACATGTGCAGATTTGAGCTTATATCAAAATCAGTAATCAGCAAAATATAAGGATAATGTGTGGTGATTATTAGTGACCGTTAATTGATAATTATTCAGAAATTGTGAGATGCGATCTGGTGTGATGTAGGTTTCAGAACAACATTTTCTTTATCGTGCCAACGTTTTGATCTTTATTGAGCACAATTACACAGAAGACTTTGAGCTCTGAAGATGATCTCAATAAAGATCGAAACGTTGGCACGATAAAGAAAATGTTTTTCTGAAACCTACATCACACCAGACCGCATGATTTCGGAATAATTATAAGGATAATGTAAAATAGTAATTTAGTTGAAAACGAATCAAAGAATTTCTTTTTATTATAAATCATATTTGTGACCCTATTCCTTAATAAAAATAAAGGATGTTTTGGGATACATTTTTAAAACGAATAACTCATTGAAATACACTATTTTAATTTTAGTTTTTTTACTAGAAATATGTCTATTGATAACATTTATTAAAGGAGGCTATGAAAGAGTTATTTTATGTTGAAAAATTATCTCTTTATTTAGCTTAATTACTCTTAAATCTATAACAAAATGCAACAAAGATAAATTTCTTTTGATCACATTCACAAAATACAATATAACTTTTATTCTTTAATATTTAATTAAAATAATTAAAAACAACATACAAATAACATTATACACAATAATAAAGGTCACAGTAGATTGTGAACATATGTATAAGGATTATAATTATACTGTTAGTCTTTATTCCCAAGGGTGCATACAAACCTCAAAATTTACAAGATCCAAATAAACCAGAAATTATAGGAAATAAAAGGTCAATCGCACTAATGATAAACTAATCAAAATTGTATATTTTCAATAGCTTTTAATAATTAAGAAAAGTAAAAAACAGGAGTATTAAACGCTTAACTAAATTATATTATTTGTATAATATACCTTTAACATTAATTACTTTGGTGTTGACTTCTAAAATTTAATTAATGCATTTAAAACTGCAAAAAGTGCTGTAGGTTTGGGAGGCTTTAAATTTCTAAAAACTGGGATTATAAAAATGTACTAATCAAATGCTTTCTTATTTCATTTCCAATGGTTTATTTAAGATGGTTAAAAAATGCCAGAAATGGTGTTAAAATTCCGACAAATGAAAATCATTTGCCGAAACGTTTTGAGTCAAATATAAAAAAAAGCACTTGAAATACTACAATTTTATTTGTCACGTTTCTAAACATTAAAAAGTAAAAGTAATAAACACCGATAGAATCAAGAAGAAAGGCATCAAAGTTATTATTGTTCTTTCTTTCAGTGTCAGGCCGTTATCTAGAATTAAACATTTCCAACCGTGATGCCTAACTTCGAGTATACGAATGATATGTTAATGTTACATAGCGTAATATAATGATATGTGTCTGTTACAATTTGATATGTTAATAGCAACATTTATCCATCAATCCTCCATGAACTACATACTTATAAAGTTGATACTTGTCGAATACTAGTTACATTGATATTATATACTATTCAAAAGTTTAAATAAATTATTTTTAACGGGCTATAACTAGTCCTCTATATGGTTACTTGTGGGACCACAGCCAGATTTATATTAAAAATATCATTTTTTTCATATTATTGTTTTAGTTATTACACACACTAGAATTTACATTCTAAATGCTTAATTGCTTCAGGGGGAGCCCAAGCAGAAAAATAATATTTTTAAGCCTCAAAATGTGAAAAAATGGTATTATTTTTTATATTTATATCTTATATCATCACAAACAAGCATATATCAATCGTAAATACTAATCGGTTATTCATATAGTCATCCTTAATCATTCTCTAAGCAAAAGTAAAAATTACATTTCCTCTAATACCATATTATTTTGATTTCTATATCACTTTCTGGATGGAAATCTATATTAACATAAATTCAACTTTATAAGCACATCAGCTCACAGACGATTTAGGGTTTGTTAAAATATTTATTAAGAAAATATTATTACACTTAAAACTATAAAGACATTTAGATTTTAATCACGATTTTCTTGATATGTATCTGTTTATTACTTATAATACGAAAACGTTGGAGATAATTTTTTTCCATTATACGTATTAATGATATAATTCCAACTACCTACTAAAAGGGAAAAAATACCAGTATATACACTTCCATTAAAATATAATAAATACTTTGAAATCGTTGTAGCAATCAATATTGTAAATACTGCAAGAGCCATACTGATTCACCTACAATATGGTGATTAAGGTAAACTATTGTTAATTCTGGTATTTTCAAGGAATGGGGAAGTCATCATGGCCTCGATAGAGTTTACTTAGTTTTGATTAGGGGCAGGGGTAGGACTCGAATTGGAATTGGTCAATATTACGCTTCTAGTCGAGGAAGCCGGTGTTGACAAGTTTCTCCAAAAAGAACTTGACATCGCCCAACTCAGAATCTTTTATCCCAAGGCTTTTCAACATTCCCAAGTCCCCATTTTCAACCGCCATAAAAACAGAACGTAAATGCTCAAGATCTGATCTCATCAAATGTAAAGCTGCTCCAAAATCTTCAATGGTCTGTGATTCTAAAAAGTACAAAAGAAAAACATTAAAAGAAGCGGTGTTAAAATTTTATTTTATAATAATAAAAACAAAAACTACACAATATGAAGGAATTTGATTTGAATTTGACCTGTTCGTATGGTGTTTTATGCTCTCTTCTATACTTGACTTACCAGAAAGTGTAATTGCAACTTTATCGACTCCACCCAAAGGTGCCAATGCATCTCTGGCTTTGCTTCCGAATAGTTTCTCCAGATAGTTTGGTCCATGGCTTGCAAGCAATGACTGCAGAAAGCTGGATGTCTCTTCGACTGGCGGCCTTTTAGCTAAAGATTACATCCTTCTAACAGTCTCAATCATTACATAAAAACCTTATAATTAATATTTTACTGTGCACATCATAAATACCAAACCTTTTTTTTTAATTTTTTTTTTTTTTATAATTAATCCATCCATGCCCATTTTGCAGTGTATAAAATGTACATACAAAAATGCTGAAAATATTAGATGTGTTTAAAAGATTTTACCAGCGGTACAGAGTCTTGAATCTTCGTCGTAACCATCTAAGCAATCTGGCGCTCCGTCACAAAGGTACTGAATTGAAATGCAAGCGCCATCTCCAGGACACTTGAAGGGTTCATATGGATGGCATGCTTCAGCTGGAAAATATAATTTATGCTTTTATTGAACACATATGATCTAGTGTGAGTTGTACTTTCATGAATTGATTAGTCTATTAAATACATAAAGGGATGAGCTTTTCAGAGATGTTTTTTTTAATCAATATTCACCATTAATCTTTAAGTAAGGTATTGGTTGAGAGAAAAAAGTCAGTGTCACAAGCGGGATTTGAACCCACGACCTTTGGCTAAATTCGCCGCTGTTCTACCACTTGAGCAGCAACTTCGATCCACTCGGACACCAACTTCCCATCTCAACCCCACCTTTTGAATTTTCCCTCCTTTTTGCCATTTTAAAGGTTAATTAATTACTTACTTAAACATTAATTAATTGGAAATAACTTATTTACACCTAATCGATTCACCATTAAATTAAGTATATATTTTTTAAAAATAACTAAACAAAAAGTAGATAAATTAATTTTATAGCTGTCAACTGGGGGAAGTTCAAACCATTAAAACAGGTATGAATTGATAGGAAAATAATTGATATAAGTCAATTTTGTGTTGGTTTTATAAATTCTGGTTTTACTAATTGTCAATCTTCAAGAAAATATTCTCTTGAATGCTTCGTTAGTAAAGTATTCAAGATAATTTTGTTAAGAGCTTTACCAGTAATACATTTAACCCTAATTAACTGACCTTGTAACGAGTAGTAATCAATTTTTCACTTACATTGCGTATTCTGTGTCATTAACATTAAATAAGGGGAAAAACCTATATGATTTTTATAAGCTCAACTGTCCATAAATACATATGTACAGAATTGAACTTTTGCCTTCAATCAAACTTTCGAATCTTCCACTTCTGTATTTTGGGAGTCCACGGTCCCATTGCTGAAGCAATCCGTAATTACGTACACTCTTTCCCATTTACTATTAACTCAAATAGGAATACTTGATATTCCTCCATCTACCTTTACACATCCTATATAACTAATCTATTTGTGAGTTCATAGAGTACACAGTATTCCACTAACATTACACATTCGTGCTAATAAACACATTCACTCTTAACATAAAAAAAAGAAGCACAAAACAAGATATCTATCAAATATATATATAAAACTGCCCTGTTTCCCTTAATAAATCAGAACAGGAGACCTAAACAATCAATGTGCTGAAGATAAATTCTCATATTGGGGGGCATTCCTACATGCTCTCTATATGGAGCCAAGAAGTGACACCTTTCATTTAAATGGGACACATTTTTATTTATTTAAGGATTGAAATCCACTATAAAAAAGACATTTTACAACAATAAAAAATATAAATAATATATGTAAAAATAAAAATAATATATATAAAAAGAATAAGGACGTATATATATGGTAATAATATAAATGGTAAATATAAATGAGAGTAAAAACTGAACAACAAAAATGAAAGACATAATTACTAACCAAATAAGGCAGAGAAAACAAAATAAAGCTGAAAGACAATTGAAACTACAATAATTAGGTACATATGTAATGAAAATAATGCTCTTTGTAAATATATAATAAGACTAGAGTGCGAGAATTAGTTGAACCAGTAAATAAAATAAATTGTATTAATTTTGTACATATGAAATATAAAAGCATTCAACTAAGGTTGTAGGATAAGGTTTTTCATAGATTGCACAGAACTATTGAAGAAGTCAATGCTATTGCAGATGTTGTTACTCTTGATCATCATTCTGTGTAGAGGAGAAGAGAGCATGCAGTTAGAGCTTTGGAATTCAATATAAAATAATTTATAGGTTTTAAGAGAGTACGAAGGGACATGTAACTGTAGTTGAGAGAGGAGATAAGGACTATCAATGAAATTGTTTAATAATTTAAATAAAAAAACAATATCAAAGTAATCCCTTCTTAGTGCCAGTTCGAAAAGTTTAAATTCAGAGCGAATTCCAGGATAGGCAGAATTTGGAGGAAGATTTTGGTAGGAAAGTTTTTTTAAAAATTTGTTTTGTTCAGATTGAAGAAGTTTTTGTTATTTTAGATAGAATGGGTTTCCAAACAGGTGTAGCATATTCAATTTTTAAATTCATAGGTGTTCCAGATGATGAAACCTAGCATCTTCATAGATCTATTTTTTATTGAAGAAATATGTTCTTTAAACTTGAGCTTTTGATCAAAAAGTACACCAAGATCCTTTACGACCTCAACTCGCGTTAAAAGAACATCATGGAGAGTATAGAGATAAATAAAAGGTTGTTTCTTATGAGAGAATGTAATTGTGTAGCATTTGGAAACATTAAGAGCAAGTTTGTTATTAGAGCACCAGGTTAGCACATTATTGATAGAATTTTGTAATTGTAAGCAGTAGGAAGGAGAAGAGATTATGAAATAGATTTTCAGATCATCAGTAAATAATAAAAATTGAGCAGAAGGAAGAGCAAGATGGATATCATTAATAAATAAGAGAAACAAAACTGGTCCAAGATGAGACCCTTGCAGGACTCCTGAGGAAGCCGCAAAGGGACATGATTTAAATGATTTTATTTGGACTATTTGTTTTCTGTCGGAGAGAAAGCTGGATAACCAATTCAAGATAGTTCCGGTGAAACCATAATCCATTAGTTTCCTTAACACTATTGTGTGATTTACTTTATCAAAAGCTTTAGAAAAATCAGTATACACTGAGTCTACTTGGTGTCTAGAGTAACATTGAGCAACCTTTCGTTAAATAGACATATATGCGGGAAACATAATCGGACATTGGCCCTAAAATAGGCGTCTGTGCGTCAACCTTGCATGGCCTATTCTTAATCAGGTGAGGATGATCCCTCTTTTACGATTCAAAACTTCTGAAGGGGCATCTATCAACTGTGCTGTTGATAGGAGCATCTCTGCCAACCTGGCTTACCGATCCTGCCATTTCCTTTTAATAATATTTTTCTTGCATTTTTAGCATTACAGGACCGGATTGTGGAAAGGACTTACATCTCTGGGGTCCTAGACAACCTACATTGTTTCGCTGAGGAGCTCGAGTTTGGAGTATTTCTCTAAGACGAATGAATAAAGGTACGTGAAAAACTTTCATGGACAGATGTTCCCATCATTTCTCAGCTGAGTTGAATCAGACTGAGGATTTTTAATCTATATCTTACACCTTAGGGGGTCTCTCAGACAGCCGATACTACCCTCAGATAGCATTAGGAAGATATTACATGCATGGATATATTGCAGCAAGTCAGGTGGAATGTTACCCAGGTTCAGGAGTGAGAGGGAATTTTGCTCAAAGTTCAAAAAGGCAGACAAAACCCACATGCTGTCCAATAAAAGCTGGAAAAACAAAAGGATGTTCATTTTATAACATCTGTCAGGCCCAATTAATCATGTTTTCGCTTTGTGAAAATTGGAGCAAACTTTTGGGGTTATTGGACTGGATGTACCCTTCTGTCGTCTTTTTTACAAAAGCGACCATGAACGTCGAGCTTGAAAGAGAAATTCAACCCACATGCTGTTAGTTTCACTCCAAATCACATTAGCCTTTTGATCCAATTTACGAGAGTCAGCTTTTCACAGAGGTCCACAATGAAGGGAAAACAACTTGAATAAAAAAGGAAGAAACTCACTTGAATTTTAATTCTAAGGACTTCTAGAATATTCAGAATGGCTGTTTATATTTTCACCGCGCTAAAACAGAAAAATTACTTAAGAATTTATTGTAGATTTTTGAATTACAATAAAAAATACTCTTTACTGATTTTTTTTCTTGTTTAATGCATATAACATTAATGATGTATGGCTATTTACATTTGATAAAATGCACATGTGAAGGGTCGTAAAATAAATGACTAATCATTAAGCAACCCAGCCTATAAAGTAAACACTTCAGTTTAATTGAGAACGTACATAACAGCTAGCTCAGAAGCTTTATTGGAACTTTTTAGTTTTTACCTTTCTAATCGTACTCAAGTTAGTAGAGTTGCTTCTTCTTCTGTTCCATGTAAAATTTTTTCTGGTATTGCACAAGGATCAATATTAGGGCCAATTCCGTTTCTTATTTATGTTAATAATTTGCTGAACTTGATTTATTTGGTAAACTCATTTAAGTTTCAGTTATGCTGATTATACTGCTCTGATTTTTTTTTTGGCGATGATTTAAAAAAATTTGTTGTCTGATATAAATAAACACCTATGAGTTGTGCTCTTGGTTTTCGAATAATTAGATATCTTTTAGTTAGGAAATCACAAAGATGTTTGTAATTTCTTTCTTTTTTAGAAGGAAGCTTAATCTTGAAGATTGTATATTCTTCCAGCTTTCCATACTTGTTCTGACTCAATTGAACAATTGCTCATGTGATTTATTGGTATTTCTTAATCAAATAAAACACGTGGGTGTGGTTTTTTATTTTTTTAAAATTCTAATTTAACTTTTAAATTCTATATTGAATTAATTATTCATACAATCTTTTTCATAAATTTTGAATGCTCATGTCTAAACCAATTAAATTAGTTTTTTTTTGCATTGGCACAATCTGTTTTGGGTTTTGGGGCATTATTGCTTGGGGTGGAACAACGAAGTTTTATCTTAAACCACTTATGGTCAATATACTCATTAAAATAATTTTAAACAAAATTGGCAGATCAGCTGCTTATTAAATTTTTTGTTTATAGTGTTTTACTAGACCTAAGAAATAGGCTCAAACTTGCAAATAATTTAAAAACAATACTAGGCGACAACTTTAGTAACATCGAGAAATTATTTGGCTTCCTCTATGAATCCTGCCTAATAAACAAAACATAATTTTTCACATTGAAATGTTATACAGAGAGCCGCACCAGGGAAATGGCTTCCATGCTTTGGGGCTAAGAACATACTTTAAAAAAAAAGTTGTTATTACAAGAAATCATATTTTGAATGTTTCTTTATTTAGAGTTAATATCTTGATTTATTATATTTTTCATTAAATGTTGCCTGTACATTTTTGTACGATCATAAAATAAGAATTAATTATAATTGTTCCAATTTTCTGAAATGAAAAAAAAACCACATTCATAAATGCACTCATTAAAATCAAGTTAAAAGAAAGTCAGATCAGCTGTTTATTAAATTTTCTTGTTTATAGTGTTTTAAATACAAAATCATGCCTTTGAAATCACCTTCAATACATGCTACTAGAAAAAATCGTATTTTGAATGTCTCTTTATCTAGTGTTAACACCTCGATTTATTATAATTTTCTATTAAATGTTGCCCTTAGATTTTTGTATAATCATAAAATAAGAATTAATTGTAATAATTGTTCCAATTTTCTGAAATTTAAATACTCAATTTCTGAAAAGAGTGTCTTTTAGTAATTTATTATTTTAGAATTACATATAAAAATGTACTTGTTTCTATTTTATTGTGTTAGAAGATTTTATTTTTGTTTTGTTTGATTTTGTATAATTTATTTTTTGTGACTCTGAACAACTACCTGTCAAGCACAAATTATTCACTTAATTACAGTAGGTTAAATAAAAGGTTATTCAGATATCGTGAGATGCGGTCGGGTGTGATGTAGGTTTCAGAAAAACACACACATTAAATAAAAGGATTTATTTATACAATTGAGTGTTTAGATTTAATCCAACCAATGTATTTACAATATTTTCGGAAAATTTTGACCAGGTAGGATCAGGGGTAAACAGCATACGTGACCTGAGCATTGCCTCCATACCAACTACGTGATCTTCTACTCCCCCCCTCATTTTATTCAAGGAGTGCTGACAGCCGCTAGTTTCCTCAAAATTGCGTTCCTCGGTGGGATCCAAACGGTTTGATCGGTGGTTATTTCGTCCACGTGATCAACATAATCCACAAATGTGAAACTTTATGATCAAAAGGGTATGGTTTTATTGACCCGTATACTAGTTGAAATACGGCGCTTTAAGGGTTAAAACCTTACTATTTTTGCACGTCATGTTTGTAATTATTTGTGCTATTTTTGTTTTTAAACAAACCTTTCTTTCACTTTTTTACCGAATTCATATAAGACAAACTGTTAAAATATATAATTATTTCCATTCTCGCGGTTTTATCCTAAATTAATTTTGTCGAAAATTGCTACACGCTTTCTCCTATTGAATAAAGAAATATTTTTCTTACTTGAAGATTTGTCAGGATCATCATGTTTTATACAAATCACGTATCTTCGATATCAAGGATGGCCGCTGAGATTTGACGGCAGCTCATGAAATATTGAACGGGGACCAGGTTGGAATCAAAGAATCTTATACCAAGCACGGATTTAGAGATGCGGCTTTGTAACATAAACGCAGAAAGAAACCGAAATAACCGCTGGGATTTCGGATAGATCTCTCATTTAAAATATAATAGAAACTTTCTTTCTACAAAGAACGTCATCAGTTGTTACAGAACCTTTTAGGTATAAAAGCCACGAATTTACACTGTACACGCACTATAATCACATACAAAACAGATCAAGGACATGACAAATTTGAAAAAAAAAAACCAGTTCTTTTACCAAAAACTGCTTTGACAGACAGTCATAATGTAGATGGACGGGCGAAAGATCTCGACCACTCTTCAAAGATGTAGATGCAGATGTATTTTTCCAGGGTATAGTATACTACGTCGTTTAAGAGCTATTGTATACCCCGTTCTCTGCCTAAAGCACACCGGTGAGTTTCGTCAAGAAACTTGATTAATAGGCCCGGTTTCAGTGGTTGAAGCTCTTCTATGGTCACATTATACATCCCAAAACATTTCCTCCTGAGGGCTAGTGTAGCTCCGCAGTTTGGTAGTAGATGTGTTGGTGTCTCTTCTGCTTCTTTGCAGAATCTGCATGTGCCATCTTGGATTCCAATCTTCTTTCAGTGTCCATTTAACTTGCATTGTCCTGTTAGGGATCCTATTAGGATTCGCAGTTTGTTCCTGTTTCTCTTGACACATTCTGTAATTTTTTTTCTTCCAAAATTGGTTAGAAGATTCTTGGATTATCTGTGACCAATGAGTGAATTCCATAGTTCTTTCATTTTCTTTTTGTCCTGTCTGAAATACTCGTTAGTAGTGTGGGTTCCTATGCCGCAAAAGGGTTCAGCGGTGTAGCAGCTCCTTGCCTTGCAAGGGTGGACGCTTTCTCGTTGCCTTCTACTTCCATATGTCCTGGGACCCAGCAGAGGCTGACTTTGTTCTGCGTACCTAATATTTTTAGTTTTGGAGTTCAGCACCATCCTTGAACTAATTTGAGCTTAGTGCTTTGATGGCTGGCTATCTGATATGATAGCTATGTTCTTGTTTTTGTACCTTTAGTCAAGTTGAGTTGAGTACATCTCTCGATTGCGCGAATCTCAGCTTGGAAGATACTGGTGTATTTTCCCACGGGTTCTGAGCATTTAATTCCAGGACCAAATACTCCTGCCCCTGTACCTTCTTGTTTTCTAGATCCATCTGTGTACCAAAGGATGGTGCCATTCTTAGAAGAGGTGGTTCCTGGTTCCCTCTCGTTCCCATTCTTTTTTGGTACCTAGGTTTGTTTGGAAGTTTTGACTAAATTCAAACATCCTGTTCATGTCGTCTCTCGTAGTATCGTCATGAGTATCGTATGGTCATACCATACTTTACAGTATTTTAAGCGGATGTTTATATTTGTTAAAGTTTAAATAATTGAAAATAGTCAAAGTCATGATGAAGGTGATATATTACTCAACGCACTACATGCCTAATAATTAATAAAAAGATCGATGTTTCGATTATTTTTTTACTCACGAAAATTTGGATTTCGGTATGGTCAAGTGGATGAAAAAACAAATGCAGTTATCTGCCAAGCTTTCGGTCAATTTTAATGTCATCAGGGTAAAACAATCTTAGATGTCTATAAATTGATATAATTAAATTTTCAATAATTGGTTTCAATTTTCTTTGAACGTGGCGTCAGTCGACTCTTTTAATTATGCAAAGACTCGCTCAGTGCGGTCTTGTCAGGAGAAGACCCTCCGTGGACCCTCTAATAAATAAGATAAAAGAACAGTTTAAAGGGAAGAAGTGTGAACGCTCAAGGGATTTAAAACCATTAATTTTTTAAATAAGATAAAAGGAGAATGAGACGGTGGCGGATCCAAGGGGGTGTAAAAGGAAGAACGCTCCTGGAGCCAAGATGTTATATGTTATATGTAATATGTCTTAGCATTATATAAACCTTGATCTGTTACCTCTGATAAACTTCCGAAAATTAATTCAGTTTCCTCTTAACTTGTCACGCTTTGGCTTTTTTGCCTCCCGGTTCGATACTTGACTCGATTTGATATCAAGAAACCTGCAAGTTGATGTTTAATTTTATGTAGATTTCTTTCAAAAATCTAGCTCTCTTTAGCGATCGCCTTTTTGATCGCATATCAATGAAATTTGGCAGGGTGGTAAAGAATCCTATAAGGACTGTTGGGATTGTTTTTTCAGCAAAATGGACTTGGGGTCGCAGAATATAGGCGATTAGAATAAAACATTCGATCAAAATTTTAGCCATTTTTTGCGTTTTCTCCCTCACAACAGATCGGTTTGTTTAATTTCACTCCCTCCTATCTCCGCCTTCTATTGAATTTTGGCATTTTCGGTACCGTTTTAA